CACCTTCATTTGTTTCTTTGCATCTGTTCATTGATATTTTTCAATCTGTGGAGATGTTTTAATAGTTTAAGTAGACGAGATGCATCAGAATCATCACATTGATGTTTGTGGAAGCTGTCAGTGATTAAACGATCAGAAGCTTGATCTACTTTTGTCTTCTTGTTGTGCTTCTAAAGAGCTGTATCCACCAACAGTGAAGATAACACAACCAACTGTGGATGACCTTTCTACCTCCGACTCCCTTGCAATTATTTGCCACGTCTCTGGATTCTTCCCGTCTGATATCCGAGTGTACTGGGAGGAGGAGGACCAGAGAGTCCCTCCAACTCACTTCACCAACAGTCCAACATGGAAATACACCGGGAGCAGCACGTATTCGATGATCAGCAGACTAAACATCTCAACAACTAACAACAAGGAGTCTACGTATTCTTGTGTCGTCAGACACGAGTCATCGGAAACGCCTTTTAAAAGCACTATAAAGGATGTCTTTGGTGAGCTGTCGATTAGAATGAAGTCAATGACAGTTGACTGGTGTACTTCATTTCATCGTAGACAGAGATCAGTGTAGAATACGGGCCCATACTGATTTATTTGATCGATTGCGTCGGCTAAAATAAAGATAATCAAAATTGACAAAAACTTTTCCTCCCTGTTTCCTCCAGCCACAGTGACCCACAGCAAACCCTCAGCGACCTTGCTCCAGGGCTCCGGTGAGCTGGTGTGCCTGGTCTTTGGCTTCAGCCCTGCAACCATTAACATCACTTGGTTTCTTGATGACACCAAGGGACCGTTGGACTACAGCACTAGTGAACCCCACAGAGGCCCAGATGGAAAGTTCAACATTCAAAGCCACCTAAATCTGTCCCGAGTCATCTGGTTACCTGGCGCCAACATCACCTGCAGGGTGACACATGCAAACATCAGCCTGTCCCTGGATGTATCTAAACCAGGTGCTAGTTTGATAACAAGTCTTTCTTGAACTTTACAGATTGCACATATATGTTAACCACCCGTTTCACACATGGTTGAATGGGTTAATATCTCTTAGCAGCTCCCCTGCCACTGGAACAAAGTCCAGTAGACTAACACATGTTACACGTTTCCATTCATTCACAGACTCCTTGAAGGACTGTGATTTCTTCGACGACATCATGCATGCTGAAGTGAACCAGGACACTGATGTGGAAAGCTGGTATTTTGCGTTCACTTTCCTCATTTTATTCCTCGTCTCCTTTATCTACGGTGTCTCTGCAACCATGATTAAGGTGAGAAACAACAGTACTGGAATGTTATTTTTGTGAGTGATCTTTCAGTAACACATTTCTTATAATTATTATTTTAAATATTGTTATATTTTTATCTTTTCACATTTTCACTCACATGTGTACATGCAAATCAAATATTTAAATGTATTTTTTTAAATATAAATAAGAATAAGAATTTCATCATATGCTGACACATTCCCTTTGCTTTCTCCTTTTAGACTAAATGATGGTGATCCCTGGACAGATCCCATTATATAATAATGTTTTGGTTTTTCTTGTTTTAAAGTTTAAGTGATTCACATATATGACTATTATATGTTACGTAACAGGTTTCTTGATTAGGGTTGCAAATGTTTGTTATGAGTGAAGTGCATCTGTTTAAGAGAATACATGAATAAAATAAATACTTTTTTGGTTCTGATTAAATTTGTTCTGGTTAAATTTTTTCTGATTTGTTTGAGATTCAAATACCAATGAAATTAACAGATATACTGTATATGTACAGATTACATAATTTTACGCATTATTACAATATGTGCTGAAAGAATAATTCAATTATATAAATAGTATTTCCATAAAAAGATGTTAAACACAAACAAGCGGCATATGCATACAGTATATACAGTTAAGTCATAAGATCAGCAGCGTTGTATTTCTCCGATTGACCACTAGAGGGAGACAAAGCTCCACATACAGAAGTGGGGATTTGTGTCCTTGATGTGAAGTCGTGTCTTAATTTGAATTTACTGAGAGGTCTAAACTCCACTGACCAGATGTTATGAGACAGAGGTGCAGTCTGTTCAAAGCAATAACAGAGACTGTTTGTATACCTTCTCTTTCCCATTAATACAAACACACAGGGTCACTGTAAATGTGTGCACATGTCTACTTTGTGGGTTAACATTAAGCGTGTTTTAAAAGGTAAGTTTGGAGTAACTTTTTGAACACATACTGTTCCCGTGTGATGGGGATGAGAAGTTGGCCTCACAGGAAAGATCTTATAGGAAGGAGTGTGGAGGTAGAGAGAGGAATGTGTTATAGAGAGCAGTACAGGTGAGGTTGAGAGAGCATACAAGATGTTGATCACCTGCACATTTCATACATGTGCATCTGGAACAAGTCAGATAACTATTGAAAGTCTAGAGGAACATGCAGTGAGCATTCCATCCATCCACATATCCCTTCAGTAAACTGGCTTTTTCTTTAAGGTTGTGAAGGGGCGGAGCAAATACCAGGTGTAATTGGCGTAGAGGCGGCGCACATCACTGGATAAGCCAACGATTTTCAACATAAATCATGTTGTCTGTATCTCTGGTGCTGCTGCTGTTTGCAACTGGATGTCTGGAGTCTCTCTGGTATTCTCTGAGAGAACAATTCTGCTTCAAGTATATTTAGTTCAAAAACAGTGACTCTAGAAGGACAGAACGTGCAGTCTGAAGACACTGCTGTCCATCACTGTGCAAGAAACCCACAATAACACAAACTACAAACTATAGGAGCATATTAAATACTTGACACATCAACGTAGTCTAAATATTTTTTTATTATTGCATTTTCTGAAGTTCAACATCAGCACACTCAGCAAATCATAGTCTCTGATGGGTGTAAATACAGATCTGTTACTTTGACATGACTGCGTTGGTAGAATTTCTTTTGTAGGAATAAGAGAGTTCCCTTTAAGTTATTGCATAAAATAATAAATACATCTTCTTTCTCGTGTCACGTGTGTGTGACACTATTCCAGGCTTTGGTCTGCTGTGACAGAACAGTTCATCCCTCTTTTATAGCCTCCTTCTATATGCAAAGTAAACTTCCTCACAGTCTCCTTTAAAGACTTGATATCACGCTGTCAGTCGCAGCAGAAGAGGAGAAGCTCCCATCAGATCAACCTCCACACCAACATGTTCTCTGTAGCTCTACTGCTGCTGCTGGCCGCTGGATACTGTGAGTGTCACTGAGGCAGAGACATGGACATCACAGCACACTGACTGCTCACTGTTATTACATTGATACAATATTTCATGTTTGCCTCCACAGGTGTGAAGTGTGAGCAGTTGACGCAGCCGGCCTCTGTGACTGTGCAGCCCGGTCAACGTCTGACCATCACCTGTCAGGTTTCTTATAGTATGAGCAGCTACTACACAGCATGGATCAGACAGCCTGCAGGGAAAGGACTGGAATGGATTGGACAAAGATATACTGGAGCGTCATACTACAAAGATTCACTGAAGAGCAAGTTTAGTATCAACTTAGATGCTTCCAGTAAAACAGTGACTCTAAACGGACAGAATGTGCAGCCTGGAGACACGGCTGTGTATTACTGTGCTAGAAACCCACAGTAACACAAACCATCAGTACAGGTGAACAAAAACCCCTCAGTGCCTGAACATTTGTAACACAAAGCCACCAGAGGAGGAGTCCTCAGACCACCAATGATTTCACCACCAGCTCACTGTTACATCACTTTAAATACCTACATGTTACAATTACTAAGTGCTATTCTATCCACATTTAATGAATAAAAAGTTGATGACACGTTAATTGATTGGCATACATTGAAATTTACAAGCAATACAAATTATTTCTTAGAGTTTTCTTCAGATGTTGAGTTAGACACTAAGAACCATATTTTCGAAACCAATGGAAAAATTCTGTTCCTATCATAACAAAATCCCAACTTTGAAAAGTATGTCACTTTGTTTAAATGATATGTCTGGAAAAAAGGAACATTATATGAACACATCTCAGCCACTTTAGTATAACTCATATTTGACATCTAACTTAGGTCACCTTTTAACACAAAATAAGAAAAATGTTATTGCTGGATAATAAGTGATGGCAGCTTTATTGGATTAAATATTTCAGGTCACTATGGATGTAAATATAAACAGCTGGAAGACTGAGGGAGCTGCTGTTTAGTCTTTTTCTAATGAGAAATTGTGATGAAAGATGATTCAATACAGGATGATACGATAAGACAAACATTTACTCCCTGGGCTCTGAGAGAGAAACAACATCTGTCTGGGTTTTTGGACTGCAGTACCCTGAAGGACCATGAGGGGTCCTCAGTGTTCCAGTTATTCCTGTCACATGTGTCCTGTCTTGATTGTTTTCATGGTGTTAACCTGTGCATTATTTGCTAGCCTTTAAAGCCACCTGAGTGTCCTTTTGTTTGCTGAGTCTTGGAAGTTGACACCTTGACACCTTTACCTCTGTTAATCCTTTTTTGGTTCTTGAGATCTTTTTGTTGCCTCTCTTTTGGACACCCTTAGTTACATTGTTAATTTCCCAGACTTTGTTTTTAGTTGTCCGGAAGTATTTTTGAGTTGCTGTCAAACCTTCTGCAATCCTCTGCTTTATTCAAGTAAAGAAACCTTTTTTTATTCCCTACCAACAACTCTTCTCTCTCTGTCTCTGCATCTGAGTCATCATCACTCGTAGTGCAGTGGTAGGCAACCCGCCTGCTACACGGAGACACAGGTTCGGATCCCGACGATCCTGATAATATCTTCATTATTACATTTTTACTGTTAGTTGTAAACCACCTCAGTGAGAGGACTTCACTATAGAGATTTGATTCTCCAATTAAAGTGATCTTGTGTTACATTAGACAGAATCCTCTGAGTGTGAAACATATTCAAATGTTATAAAGTGACTAACAGTAAAACAAGGACAGAGGACACTGTTCAATCAGAGAGGAGGAGTCAATGCAAAACTCCGATGTCTTTCTCCTCTACTTATGTGGCTGCAGAGAGGAGGACAGAGGACAGTGGACACACAGTTAACCATGAGGGACTTTAGGACAGGACTGCTGCTTTTAACTGTCTTCTGCGCAGGTGAAGAATTTCTCTGATCTTGATTTCACACGTTTCCACTTGCTGTTAACGTAACACATGACATGCATATCTTCTTCTCTTGACAGGTGTTGATGGTCAGACTCTGACACAATCTGAAGCAGTGATTAAAAGGCCCGAAGATTCTCACAGGTTGACTTGTACAACATCTGGATTCACATTCAGCAGCTACTGGATGCACTGGATCAGACAGGCTCCTGGAAAAGGACTGGAGTGGATCGCTTACATCGGCAGATCTAGTTCTCCTATCAATTACTCCCCATCAGTCAAGGGTAGATTCACCATCTCCAGAGATGACTCCAGCAGTAAACTGTATCTACAGATGAACAGTCTGAAGACTGAGGACAGCGCAGTGTATTACTGTGCTAGAGACCCACAGTGAGAGACAACGATGAGAGAGCTGTTCAAAAACTACTTCCTCTATTCACCTCGACCACTGGGAACATTCAGACGTCTCAGTGTCACTTGTGCTGAACCACAGATATAATGAAGATAGTGCTTATTATTTTATTAAAATGATGCACATTCTAAATGTAACAATACATATATATATATATATATATATATATATATATATATACATATATAATATAACATGCATTATGCTTTATATTATTAACTAATCTAAGCTATGACAAACTAATAAATAAAAAATATGTTGTTAATTGTCACGACTGGACAACGGCCCTGAACGCAAATGCACGACTCCTGAGACGAGGTTCAAAATCAAAGTTTATTCACAAAAGGCAACAATGAAAGTCACTGTCGGCAGAGGAAGAAACCCTGTACTAAAGCTAAGAACCAAAAGGATCTAGAAAATAAACGCTAGGCTGAAAAAGGAACCAACAGAAAGCGAGCCTGAACAAGGTACAAAGAACGTAGCAAAACTTGTCAAAGGACGTTGGTACACGCGGGTTCTCTGTAACATGGGACAAGACCAACTGGCCCAGGACAAAGGGAGACGCAGACAATATACACACAGGGTGAGGACACAGAGGGACACTATCAGGGGCAGGACAGACAATGGGACCGGCACACAGGGGGAAGGAGCACGTTGCCTGAAACGAGAGGAAGGTTAATCACAAGACAACAGAGACACGAGACGACCTGACTGGCACCGCTTCTTGGACATGACATGCCAGCAGATGTGTGTCCTCTTACCACGGCCATCGGTTATCTTTGCATGTCTCAGGTTTCACTTCCTAAATAGCTCATTTCTTCTTGAGGCTCCATGTTTCTCTGTATGTCTGTGGCTTCAAATTGGTGAGATTTAAATACCGAAACCGTAGAAGTCTAAAAAGCAGCTGCAGTAAATTCAAATATTCATGTAGATGAATATAGATTATCTCTCTCTCACTTCATTTGTGTAAACTCCAAAACTATAACCATTCAAATCTTTCTCTAGCACTTTTGAAACTGCAATATTGGAACTGGTGTAAAAAAAATGGGTCAAACGGGAACAGTTGACACAGCGAGTGCGAGCAGCTTACGTCACCGGCTACATTGATAAATGGTTACTGAACTTCAACAAATACTTTGACTTTCTACAAACTGAGACACAATAACAACTTTATGTTATGTGGAATATAAAGAAAGTGTTTTTGGGAGTTAATCTTATGTGTGTGTTTCCTGTTCCTTGTGTCACTAACCCCTCCTGTCTTTTCCGTTCCTCTCCTCGTGTTCTTCCTGATTCCTTATTCACTACACCTACGTTCACCTGTCCACTACCGTCCCTCGTCTCTCAGGTTTCTCTCTGCTCTCGAGTCACTCCGCCGCCCCAGAACCGTTACAATCATGCTATTTATGTGCCCTTGCTAACGCAAATTAATGAATAAAAAATGAAATAATCTCTACTCGTGTACTTTAGAGTCAATCATGAATGGTGAAAGGCGCCGGCACAAAAACAGTTGATATCATACTAGAATTTTATTTAATAATTTGAAAACATGCAACAACTTATCTTTGTTTGCAATTATAAAATAATTGAGAGTTTCTTAGTTGACTTCTGTGTAAGTTCTGTAAATGCAGCTAAATGGTTTTTATTTGTGCTCAGAGGCGAGTTCAAAGCACGTTTTCACCGTGCAGATATAATGAACAGATTGGAGAGACTGTCCAACTGGCTCCAGTTAGACCAACGTTGAAGTTTCATATGTGTGATCCCATGCAAACTCAGGGAGCTTCCTTGTTGGTCAGCTATAAAAACATCCCATCAGTCTGTTGAGTTCACAGCTCGTCAGTTTCAACATCACCATGTTCTCAATAGCTCTGCTGCTGCTGTTGGCAGCTGGATGTAAGTTCCTCTTGATTCATCAAAGTCATTCGTTCTTCTTGTATAACTTGATAATAAAGAAAAATCTTTTTTTAACAGGCTTTAAATGTGAGCAGTTGACGCAGCCGGCCTCTGTGACTGTGCAGCCCGGTCAACGTCTGACCATCACTTGTCAGGTTTCTTATAGTCTGAGCAGCTACTGGACAGCATGGATCAGACAGCCTGCAGGGAAAGGACTGGAATGGATTGGATGGAAATGTACTGGAGGATCACACTACAAAGATTCACTGAAGAGCAAGTTTAGTATCGACTTAGATGCTTCCAGTAAAACAGTGACTCTAAACGGACAGAATGTGCAGCCTGGAGACACGGCTGTGTATTACTGTGCAAGAGACCCACAGTAACACAAACCATCAGTACAGGTGAACAAAAACCTCTCAGTGCCTGAACACTTGTAACGCAAAGCCACCAGAGGAGGAGTCCTCAGACCACCAATGATTTCACCACCAGCTCACTGGGACATCACTTTAAATACCTACACGTTACAATTACTAATATGCTATTCTATCCACGATTTAATGAATAAAAAGTTTTACAAAAAAAAAATACACGTTTATCAATTGCAATACATAGAATCTTACAAGCAATGAAAATAATTTATTGGAGTTTTCCAATCAAATGAATAATTTAAAATGAACACTACATGAACACATCTCAGCCACGTTAATGTAACTTATTCATTATTTGACAATTAAATTAGGTCTCGTTATAACACACAAAAAAATAGTTTTTTTGTTCATTGTTAGATAGCGAAAAAAATAATTATTTTGGCCCTAAACTGGGGTCGAGGATCAGCGGGTCAAGATCCAATCACACAATGTGTGGTTTCCTAACATTAATGTAAACATAACGAACAAAGCGTGAGGGTTGTAAGGTGATTGGTGTGTCTCTCACTCTCATCCTTATCAGAACTGTGTTTGCCTGGTTGGCACCTTCAGCTTTTGCCCTCTGACCTTTCACTGCTCAACCAGGATGAGACAGTGACTCCCTAAATGAGCAGTGGGAAAAACGTTTTTGATTATCAGAGGAAAACAATATCCTCGTTATTACATTTTTACTCTCATAGTTGTAAACCACCTCAGTGAGAGGACTTCACTATAGAGTGATTTTTTATCCAATTAAAGTGATAGCTTTGCTTAAGATAGCTTTGTATAATAGAGTCTTCATATTTTCTAGATTCTCTTGTGTTACATTAGACAGAATCCTCTGAGTGTGAAACATATTCAAATGTTATAAAGTGACTAACAGTAAAACAAGGACAGAGGACACTGTTCAATCAGAGAGGAGGAGTCAATGCAAAACTCAGATGTCTTTCTCCTCTACTTATGTGGCTGCAGAGAGGAGGACAGAGGACAGTGGACACACAGTTAACCATGAGGGACTTTAGGACAGGACTGCTGCTTTTAACTGTCTTCTGCGCAGGTGAAGAATTTCTCTCATCTTGATTTCAGACGTTTCCACTTGCTGTTAACGTAACACATGACATGCATATCTTCTTCTCTTGACAGGTGTTGATGGTCAGACTCTGACACAATCTGAAGCAGTGATTAAAAGGCCTGAAGAATCTCACAGGTTGACTTGTACAACATCTGGATTCACATTCAGAAGCTACGAGATGAACTGGATCAGACAGGCTCCTGGAAAAGGACTGGAGTGGATCGCTTTCATCAGCACATCTAGTTCTCCTATCTATTACTCCCCATCAGTCAAGGGTAGATTCACCATCTCCAGAGATGACTCCAGCAGTAAACTGTATCTACAGATGAACAGTCTGAAGACTGAGGACAGCGCAGTGTATTACTGTGCTAGAGACACACAGTAACACAAACCATCAGTACAGCTGAACAAAAACCTCTCAGTGCCTGAACACTTGTAACACAAAGCCACCAGAGGAGGAGTCCTCAGACCACCAAGGATTTCACCACCAGCTCACTGTGACCTCAGTCTAAATACCTACACGTTACAATTACTAATATGCTATTCTATATATTTAAGAACATTCATAACACGTTTATTAATTGCCCTACATTGACTTTTACAAGCAAGGAAAATAATTTTTCTTCAGATTTTGAGTTCTACGCTAAAATGTTATTATTAGGATCCTCAATACGACTTGTCATAGAGGAACCTATTGTATTCATTATTTATCTCTGAAACACCCAGATGATAAATAACCTGAATTTTATTATCTATCCTACAAAATAAAATACAATCATTTGGAGTGAATTATTTGTTTTGCTATTTCTTTTTCTAAATGTCTGACCCGTGCCATATAAACGTGTCCTTTGTCAAAATGATGCTCTGAAGAATAAGTTAATCTCCAGCAGAGACACTTCTGCCTCCAACAGTGACTTTAAAAGGACAGAATGATCAAACTGAGGACACAGCTGTGTGTTGCTGTGTGCGTTATCCCTCAGAGATACAAACCACCAACAGACCTGCACAAGTACCAGCAACCGTGTGACTCACCCACACACTGTCAAACACATTTAAATACATTATGAAGCAGTCTGTGTGTGACTAGTTACTCCCTGAAGGAGACATCGTCTGGTTATTTAATATATTTAAGAGACCATCTTGCATTGTGATCATTGCAGCTGTGCTGCTAAATTGGGCTTTTCTACCCGTGTACTAGTTTTTAAGGATTCAAAACTAGAATCCAAGACATTAAAGATACTTATGTTCACTCAAACAATATTATATTAAAAATGATTTTCGGCTTGATATACTGTTAGAAAAATATGTTTTTACTTTTCCTGTAACACAAATATTTTTACATTATGATCAGTTGTCAGGAATTAAGATCTTTTACTTCACTCTGCTTTGGCTGTTGTGTATTTATTTGAGTTCACCTGCTTTCCATTTTGTCTTTTGAAACCTGTTGAGGGAGGTGCATGCAAATTGTTCCTTCCTTAAAATAATGCCGTATGCAGCTCTCATGTCATTGATGACGGAGCAACTGGGCTTCTAATATATCTTGAAAACATTCAGAGCAGAAAGCAGTGGATGAAGTGTTAGTAACATAATGGAAAATATGATTTCCTGGAGTCTGTTCTTCATAGTTACTATTAATGGTAAGAACAATTTCTGCTCTAACACAGTGAAGACACTCACTTATCTCACCTGTGAGGTGTGCTGATTACAATGTCTTTTCTTACAGGAGTTTGGAGTGAAATCAAACACGAACAGTCTCCCTCCGAGGTGAAGAAACCTGGAGAGAAAGTGAAGATGTCGTGTATCACGTCAGGTTATACAATGACAGACCACTTTATTAGCTGGATACGACAGAGGCCAGGAAATGCTCTGGAGTGGATTGGGAGGATGAACACAGGCAGCAACTCTGCTACCTTCAGCAGCTCCTTCCAAAGCCGTTTCATCATGACTGAAGATGTGTCCAAGAGCACTCAGTACCTCGAGGTCACGAGCCTGACAGCAGAAGACTCAGCTGTTTACTTCTGTGCTCGACACACAGTGACTGAAGACAGCGGAGCAGCTGAACAAAAACATCCACAGACAACAAACAGCAACTTGGGGACATTTGGCTTTTCTCACAAACTGCCAAAGTACTTTAATCTATTTAATATCTTCACGATGTCAATAATTGCTTTTTAAAACACATGAAGAATAAACAAATGAATTCAAAACAGGATAAGAATTTATTCATAACATAAATGCAATAAATACACCATATTGTTTGTTGGTAGAATTGTTTCTATTGTTTCAAAGCCCTTTTATGATCTAAAATGTCAAGAAAACGTAAATGTCGGAGTCAAGTACATAAATTATAATAATCAAATGAAGAACACAGACATCAGATTGTTTCCTCTTCTACTTCACTCCTGACTGCTTTGGCTCAGCCAGCAGGGAAGTTATAAAATAATTTTGTTGAAATACAACAAATGTGTTTCAAATGTAAAACATGTTCATCCCTGTTGAAAATACTTATTAATAAAGTGTTGACTTTTTATTCATTGCAGTAAGTAAAAGTAACAACAATAACAGTATCAAGCAAAGCGCTCATCAACTGGATTAATCTTTACTTCACCTGGTTCACCTTGATGCCTCCACTGCAAGTGTGTGTGTCTGTCCGTGTGTCTGTTTGTGTGTGCCTGTGTGTGTGTGTGTCTGTGTGTGTGTGTGTGTGTGTGTGTGTGTCTGTCTGTCTGTGTGTGTGTGTGTGTGTGTGTACACAAAGAACAGCAGAGATTCTTGCTGTAGCCAAACATTAAAATGTACCAGTAAAAGGAACCATTAACTTTTTATAACTCATGTCTGTTTAATACTGAGAGTCGTACCCATCACGACCTCTATTTAATGTAGACACAAAATGTTCTCATTAGAACCATGTCAAGTGTGTCCGTTCTGCTGCTCTGCAACATGACTCCATGGAAGAAGAAGCTCTCCCTTTGTCGGTAGCTAGTTCTCTGCTCCCTGAGAGGAGGAGTCAATGCAAAACTCAGATGTCTTCTACCTACAAGAGGAGGAAAGAGAGCAGTGGACACACACAGATAAACATGAGGCGCTGCAGGACAGGACTGCTGATTTTAACTATCTGCTGGGCAGGTGACGATTTTCACTCATTCTGTCACTTCATATAGTTGCAAATCACTTGATGTTTGCGTGATGAGTTCTGTACTGATGAATGATTTCTCTGCAGGCGTTTCCAGTCAGACTCTGAGTGAGTCTGAACCAGCGGTGAAGCTCCCAGGAGAATCCCATAAACTGACCTGTACCTATGCAGGAATATCAGATGATGCTGCTGATATCTGCTGGATCAGACAAGCTGAAGGAAAAGGACTGGAGTGGATTGCCCAAATTTCTGCTCCGAGTGGAAGCAGTAAATATTATTCCACGTCTGTCCTGAATCGTTTCACCATTTCCAGAGACAACGCCGTGGACCAGGTGTCTCTGCAGATGAACAGTCTGACCACTGAAGACTCGGCTGTTTATTATTGTGCTCGGAGGCCACAGTGATACAGGAAGCCACAGAACTGTACAAAAACTCCCCCCATTGTATCAGTCACTGATAAAGTATTGTGAATCGCCATTAAGTATTTATAAAATATTACATTACATTACATTACATTACATGTCATTTAGCTGACGCTTTTATCCAAAGCGACGTACAATAAGTGCATTCAACCATAGGGTACAAAATACCCCCTATAGTGTTAATTGTTGGAACCAGGGGGAGAAAATGGAAGGTTGGACTAAATAATCTAGAAGTTAAATCAAAGTTAATTGTCATCATAGGCAGCAACTGTACTATCTCACTGAAAATAAATAGCTGTTTTAAAGATATTTGCAAGTAAAGAAGGTCGGCGCCATTTAATTTGACGTCCAAAACGCATCTCCGTTAACACTGAACCCTCATGTCACCTTTGTTCTCGATTACAAACAAAAACCCTGCTGAATATTTGTCTCCTGTTCACTTCAATTCTATGCTAATACATTTTGTAATGGTAAAATATAATGATGCCATAATGTTTTATTAGATTAATGTATGAAGCTAATCATGAGTTTAATTGTGAGGAAGTTCCACAGCACCAGCTGTGTGGGAACTGTCTCCTCTTTGATCCCATCTGACTATGTGTACCAAAGCTGCATGGAGGGAGGAGAAGGTGTGGATTCCTCCGGCCCTCGTCCTGAATCTAATAAGATGTGTGATAGAATTGTCTTGTGAGTTTTCCCTCAGGTCTGGGACCTTGTTGCTTGTCTCTGTTTCTTTAGCATTACAAAGTATTAATATATCTTGTTTGCTTCGAACATAAAGAAGAAGCTTGCCACTGAAAAACAATAAACCAATATCTCTGAGACGCTCATCAACAGAGCAGCCAAGCGTAGTCACTACCAGGTCAGTCAAACAACAACCTGGCGACGAGTGGCTGAGGAACCGGGGTAGAAACATCAGCCGTATCGCTCCTCCTTAAATTTACTCAGGACACAGAAGTACCACAAGAGAGATATTTATAAAAATACTTTTATTTAGTATCAAAACATTGAAGATACTTTATATTTTAAAAGCAGTCTTTCAATAAGTTAAACGTCCACCAGGAAAGTCCAGTCACGAGCTGTCAGACAGCTGGGATCCATTTGCAGTCAATCCGGCCGTGCTCTGTTCAGTGTGGACTGTAGAGAACGTGGTGTGACGTCGTGGCCGATGCCCCCTCACGACGGAGGTCGGTCGGTCGGTCGGTCGGTCCGTTCGCCACCGTCTCGTTGTCCCGGCCGTGTTCCCATAAGTCAGCAGCTTCCTCTTTTTTATACTCCTCCTGTTTGCCCCTCAATCCCGTAGATGGGTTGGTTACTAATTGTCCAGGTAATTAGTCCCGGTTAAAGCGATAGAGGGATTTGTTAGTCCAATAGGACGTCTGTGTGGGGAACAGTAGTCCATGTAACTCACACGGTGCACGCTAAAGTAAAAGATCACGCAATACACAGTGAACATACAAGATCACAGCAATCACATAAATGACACAGCAGTCAATAAATGTCACAGCACACTAGTCACCGCAAACCAGAAACACACATTACATTCACACACACATTCCCAACAGGCTGACAGATACACTGCAAGGTGATTTGTAGATTGAAGGCAGCCTGGTTGCCAGAGCAGGTGAAGTGACCTGTAATCAGGGAGTCTGAATGAGCTTCAGTTTGGAGCCACGCCCCTCCACATGATACCGCCAGGAGGCGGGACCTCGCCGTGACAATAATCTAGTTATCACATGACTTGTAAACTCATTAGATAAATAGTCCAATACAGTTTCATGTCAATCACATGTGTTATTATAACAAACATTAAAGCTTTTAGTGATTGTAAATGACAAAATGTCACATATTAAAAATAAGACGTTTTTGTTTGGTTTTGCTGTATGAGAATAATAAATGTTGCTATTTCATATTATATCATTTTGTTGACTATGATTGCTTCTCTTTTGATGTGATACTGTAGATCACATCAATCAATTCAATCAATTTGGATTAAGACATCACTCAGCCATGTGGAAATGATAGTGTGCTCGTGTTAAACAGAAAGGCTTCTGAATATGTCGTCGTTTCAAACCAACGTTTCTTCAGTTTCTGGTGATTCTAAACATATCATCTTCCTCTCTGCACCTCCGGGATCACACAGGAAACTTTTTAGAAACTGTCAGAACTACAAACAAACAGCATTCCAGCCTTCCAGTGTGTACTTTTCTTTAAAATGTAAACTTAAATAAAAAAACGAAAAAAGCAATCTGCAAAAAGTATCACCCTTACAATATAGATTGATATTTTACAAGAAATAAATATATCTAAACGTACTACTTTATACTTTCTATGTTTTGTCTGCAACAAATTGATCAGTTGAAATGATTGATGTGTAAAATAATTTAAAGATAAATCACTATCTATGTGCAGGCATGTACACAAACATCAACGTTATAGTAGAAATATTCCTTTTTCACTTGATTCTTACGTGAAACTATTTTTAAAATGTTCTTCAAAGAGAAAATACGGTCGTCATTTGAATAAAAAATTACGTTTCTCAATACAAGAGCAAGTTGATTTTTGCCAGTTTTACAGCAACTATGTAAAAAAACTAAAGTTGTGAGAGGTAAATAAGTTAGAAGGAATCAAGTTGGAAAAGAAGAGCTGAAGTGCGACGGTTTGAAAAAGGAAAGAACAATAATAATAATAATGCTAAAAGTATTTCTTGACCCACCATACAACAGTAGCTTGACAAAAGGACAGATTTAAACATAGACATTCAAATTTGTTACAAACTATAAAACAACTGCTCTGTTAAAAATACGAAAAACATTTCAATTAACAAAAAAATATGGATTGATATAAATGACGTAAAAATAAGTAACATGTGAATCTTACATCCAACACTTTTATTGATTAGAATATGAGATTCTTTTTTAGTCTTACCCACTGCTGACGATACGTTTCCAGTGCAGGAAGCTGTGGGTCACTGAGGTTTTTGTAACAGGGTTTATCACAGTGTGGGGTGGGGTATGGGGCACTGTGATATTCATCCATACAAAAACCTAAGAGCAAAAACTGTAAACTCTCCCATTCTCATTGTGATAAATCAACAGGACAGACGGTTTTTCAACTGGAATGTAGAGTAAGTACTGTGTTTATCACTTTTAGATGGATATTAGTTATTACAAGTTAGTTAATAAGTAGATTAAAGTCACAGACGTAAATGTCATCTTCCTGTAAATTAACTTTCAGAACTGGTTAAGAATCAGAAAAAAAAGAAAAACTCAAGACACAATTATGTTATTATTTTGAGCAAGTTTTCTGTGTATTTCAGTCACTTAATTAAGTTTTTAAAGACTTTTTCTGCTACGGCAGGTTTTTGTTGAGACAGTGACAGGAGATGCATTACTGTGATTACTTCGACTACTGGGGACAGGGGACTACAGTCACAGTATCGTCAGGTAAGTCACATTTAAACATTGTTTTTTACTAAAACGTTTATATATTTGTTATTTATTTGATCTTTAGTGGTAGGGAAGTTTAAATAACAATCTTATTTTGGTTAATGTGGTTAAGCTGGTGTTTATATTGTCCCAATCTTGTCAGTGGTAAATCAACACTCAACGAAGTATTAGAAATTTAATTTAGAATAAGTGTCAAAAATAAATCTGCTCAGCGTTAAATACACTGTACGTAGAGTTAAACCCAACACCAAGAATTGTGACACTGGTCTACAGTTACATTTCAAACCTATCAAAGAGTTAATTTAACTCTAATAAGTATTACAAATAAATCTGATGAGGGTTAAATACTAAATAAATACATCCTATGTAGAGTTAAAGACCCGAGTCCTTGAAACAGGATAGTGACTCCTGCTCTTTCATACAATGGACTCTGTAACAGTAGAATCAACTGTTTGCAGTGTGATTTCAACTCTGCACTTCAACACTTTTGCCTAAAACTGGAAAATAAACTCTTAAGAATTTTGCTGTGCAGATGTTTCTGACACAGCTGTTCTTAGAAAGCCTTTAAAAGGTTATTCTTTGACAATAACTCTTAATGCAGATTAAGGTTTGAGCTGATCTTTGAATGTATTCAGATATATTGTAATTGGGGCTGATATTTACAATCATTTTCATCATTGTATTCATATTATAATTTATTTTCTTTTGCCATTTTGTACTTAATTATACTGTAATTATACTGATATGTGATTTATATGGCAATTTACTCTCTAACATAAAGCTGGCTTTTTTTTCAAAAATGACATGTAAACATTCAAATCCATCAACAATAATTGGCATTTGGATTATGTACAGATAAACCTTAACTTTGTTGTTACAGTTACATTATACCGATAACAAAAAGTCTTTCAAGATTATACCGAAAGCATTACGTATTAAATAAATGAATAGCATGTAGTGAATGTGACTACATAATAAAAATCGGTTAGAATAATTAAAGAAAAAAAATATATAGAATATGGAAATCATACTTATTACAATGAGCTCTGTGGTTGTATTACATATTTAGTAATGTGTATGATTATTTACAAATGATTATCTTTCAACACCAAACACACTCTTTTGCCTAATGTAATTATAATTATGAATAATTATACACAGATCAATTGCTTTTCTGAAAGTTAATCATCAAAATATTACATATCGTTGTTTGATGAAGCTACAGACTTTAGTGAATAATACTAAAAAAAATACTGTAAAAAAAGAGCTTTTTCTCTACTCTACTCTACGCTTTACTTTTTACTCTATGAAGATACTGGATCTGAGTATTTTCATTGGAACTTGTATGAATTACTGCCCTGTTTTAATGAATAATTAATCAATTAAAAATATGTCATTAAAAACGCAAATATTTATATTCAGTCTAATATCTGACATTAGGCAAAAAAGTGTGTTTCAGAAAATCAATCGATCTGTGTATAATTATTTTACTTTTGTATTGTTCACCCAAGTCTTCATTATACAATGATATATATTATTTTAATGACCCACTTTCTGAAAAGAAACTGATCTGTGTGTATTTATTTCACTTTCACAGAAACGACTGCATCACCAACTCTGTTCCCTTTGGTGATGTGCCAACCCGGGTGTGCAGATGAAATCACCGTTGGTTGTCTTGCACACGACTTCTTCCCAGAGAGTCTTACTTTCCAGTGGACCAATGCTAAGGGGGCTGTGACTTCTGATAAATATCCTTCAACTCTGAACAACAAAAAATATACGGGAGTCAGTTTGCTCAAAGTATCAAAGTCTGACTGGAATTCAAGGCGCTCTTTTCAATGTTCTGTGACGCACACAGGAGGCTCAAAAAGTGTGACATTGGAAAAAGGTATGTGATGTTTTATTTAGTGTTTACTATTTTTCACCACTATTTTATTATTTTATTCGGAAAATGTTCTTTAATAATTACTGTTTAATTACTACTTCATTTCTTAACCAATCTAACCAAGTTTACATTCACATTTTAAATGAACCATTACAGACTGATCTGTAGACTGATGGATATTTCTGCTCTTTCCTCCACACGATTAGAGGCCTCTTGTCCTCCGATAAGTGACATCACAATGACACTGAAACCAACAAGTCCCAAAGAAGTTTTCAACAACAACCAGTTAAAGTGGGAGTGCAGCATTACAGGACTGGACCAGAACACCAAAGAGGAAATTAAATTCACTTGGCAAATTGATGGAAATGATGAGACAGAGAACATCAATGAAACAACAGACGCCACAGGCCGCAAAATCAGCACGTTGACTCGCGACCGCTCTGAATGGGAGAAAATTGACAAGGTGCGCTGTTCTGCTAAGGGCCTTTCTAAAGATCTGAAAATCTACAAAGGAGGTATGTAACTAAAATGATTAGTAATCTGTGAGTCTGAGGAGAAAGACCGTTTACACAAACAAAATATTATCTAAGTTTAGCAAACGCAAAGCTTGAATCAGAACCTGTTCACTAACGAGAGTTTCTCTTTCAGGTGAAGACCCAAAAGTAACCGTCCACGTCCTCACACAGGAAGATGTCAAGGAAGGAGCTGAGGTCACTCTGTTGTGTCTGGTCTCTACCAGGAAACCGCAGGATTTCTACATCGCCTGGTTAGAAGGAAGTAAATCGAATGTCAACGTCTATAACGATGGCATCGACTTCCCCCCTATGGAGACCAAACACGGCTTCTTTGTTACGAGTCTTTACACCACCTCCTTCGATAAGTGGAACAATACCAACCTGTTCTCCTGCAACGTGTGGTCACCTGGTAGCAAAAAGCTCAGAGGAGTGTCTGGATCGGCAATTAGATCAAGTGAATGTAAGAAATCGACAATTTAGTCCTAAATGTGTCATTTTGTGCTAGTGTGCTGTCATGTCTGTGTCCTCTCTGTCATGGAACCCGTCTTTGTGATTGTAAACGTAACAGCCAGTTTGTCAATTCACTTTGGTTTGTCATCGTATTGTGTTTTAATCTGTCTTTGTCACATCGTCCAAGAGCTTGATAAATGTGCTGACTGTTTCAAATAAATGTTGCATGGAAACAACGTTGTTATATGTTCATGCATGACTTCAATATTCTGAAACAAAGCTTTTAGCTGATGCCTGGTAGACTTCTCTCTTCCACTGTTCAGATAGATCAACACAACATATGTGGAGAGTGAATAATGCTTGATTTAAGTTTATGAGCACTATTCAAGTGAGAAATGGTCATCTATGTGTTACCTTTGTTCACAAACACACACACACACACACACACACAGACACACACATCTAACCCACCCACACCCTCCTCTTCTTAAATTCTATTCCAGCTTTTAAACTGCGTGTCGCTATGAGCTGCACAGATGATGCCATTGATGAAGACGAGTACAGCAGCCTGTGGTCCACCACCTCCTCCTTCATATTCCTCTTCATATCCTCTCTCATTTACAGCATGGTATTCAGCCTGGTCAAGGTAAACATGCAGACTTTCTCTGTACTCACTGAATATGCGTTTAACCACGTATGTTGATTTTCTACTGAAAAGGATGATATTAGAATGGACATTATCTCAAAAAGGGAGACTATGTGATGAAAATCATGGCATCAACAAGTCTAAGTTTGATTAGAGGGATAAAAAAGCAATATACAGTACAATTGCTAATCAGCAATTATCAGCAATATAGGATCTGCTAATGGACAGCAAATCATTCTTTCTGACCAGTGAATTAATCTATCTGGTAATCAAATCAATTGATTGTCAATTCTCCAGCTGCATAAATCTCTTAAACTAAAGTAACAATCAAACTTATTCACTTTTTATTAATATGCATCTAAAAAATCAATATAATATAAATATTTCTTTTGTGTGTTTTTCCAGATGAAGAGGCCATGAGATGAGATTGATGCATAACATGGACTTCACTTCTTCATTTGTCTTCTAAGTATTATTTCTGGTTTTAAAACATTTATTTGAGCGCTAATTTAAATGTTTGTTATTTACATATATTGATTAAATAAGTCACTCAAAATAGATTTTTCTGTGACCTGCACCACATAAAAGATACAATTGTAATTGTTAGTCATTTAGATGAATAGATTCCCTGCATTGGCTTCTGTTCTTGCATTATGAATAGAAATGTTGTACATTTATTTTCTTGAAGACTTAAATATTATCTGTTGGTAAAGTTTTACAAATGTTCATTGCCACATAGATATCAAATTGCACTGTAGTTGAGATGTTTGTAACTTTGTCTGATAATACATTTCTAAGTTTCCTTGTTTGCCATTATGTTGAACATTTTTTTATGTAATTCAACAGATATAATATTTACAGTATTATTGGACAGACACATACAAGCATACAAGAAAACTTCGACAGTTATTTTGTGGGTTTCGATTAACTTCCTGGCATTTCTAAACATATGCTCTTTAGAGAGTCCCCCCCCCCCCCCCCTTATTGTCCACCTCAGGGACCCCACACCTGTTCTAGTGAAACTACAGAGCTAAAAATAAACTTCCTCAAAACAAGAGACCCATCTTCCCCTGCATGTATTTGCATATCAGCACACGACAAGGCAACATGTGGCTTACATGCAAACTGCAGACACAAAGATCTGTGACATACCAGATATACAAGTCACATGACAAAGGGAAACATTTTATAAACTCAAACAATGTAAACGTGCATTCATGACATGATAGAAACATTACAAGTATGTTCCTGTAATAAGTTGTTTGTTTAATCTTGTTCTTTTTGCTATCTGGACCATCAGGGCAGCACAAGGAGGTGGAAGCTTGAGATCTGGTGTGATGACTGTTTCCCTGTAACTTTGTTTTAATTTTGCTTTAAGAAAAGATATTGTAAGAACATGAAGAGTCCAGCTTCAAATTGTATGGCAGTTAAAATATTACTTGGGAAATGGCACCTGAATGAAGATACAGCAGAGGAATTCATAAAGAAACACTGATGCATGTAAGAGTGCCAACAAAATGTGTTGCTTTTAGGCACATTAATTGTATCATTGATTTGAATTATTCTTTCATGACACATATAAATATATATAAATAAAAGCACAGATATTTTGAAAGATTCATATCTTTTGGTGTATTGTCTTTTCTCCAATTGTAAACATCATTGAAAACAACATGTCGTCAGAAAAGAGTGAACACTGCCATCTTGTGAAGACATTTAGTAAGGACATAGAAAGGACCAGATTCAAACACATGACCGTTCCACTGTATCTATGCTCTTCTATTACGTTAAAATAATTAAAAGTACAAAGGTGTATTTAAAATACATAATCTCTCTCTTTCTCTGATCTCTAAACCTATTCAGTTTGAAAAGTTTCATTTTCCTGACAAAGAGTACAACTTTTTTTTAACAACTTGCAGCCTCTTGGAGGTTTGGTAGGTTTTGGTCAGTGTTTGTATCACTGTGTTGATGCGAGCTGGAGTTATGGCACAGTGTGACACTCCATAACAAAAACCAGAGACTCGTCTGTCCTCTTAACTGCAGCTCTCCTTTTAAAAACGGACACAGCATGTACAATGTCACAGTTATATAATCTAATCCAAGTCAATTAAATTGCAATATGGTGTTAATAAAAAAGCGACTCCTTGAGAATACTGCATGAAGCAATATTTGTGGTGCTGTGCTGGTCATTATAATTTAAGTTCTGATTATTATTCATTCTAATAAGTGGTATTAAATAGAACGATTTTGAAATGTGATGTTTCATTCTGTTTGGGAGTGGCCACAATAATTCACAATGTTTTAAAAATCTCTAAAGAGATGCAAAGTTCTGTAGAATGTATGTTGAAAATTATACTTGTAAACAATTGTAGGTATCTGTGGCTTCATTAAAATACAGTGAGCCCAAGTCCAGAACATTTTCTCTCAGTTGATCAAAATTATTTAAATTTATGAAAACATTTAAATGTAACTGATCCTTGTTTTTTCTTCACTCTCTGAGCTTTCCAAAAATAATAAATTGACAAAAACCTGTTTTCCCTTTACTACAGTATATATGCAGTATGTCATGAGATCAGCATTGTTGTATTACTCAGTTTGACCACTAGAGGGAGACAGAGCTTCACATACAGAAGCGGGGATTTGTGTCCTTGATGTGAAGTCGTGTCTTAATTTGAACATACTGAGAGGTCTAAACTGCAGTCACTTGATTTTATGAGACAGAGGTGCATTCAGTTAAAAGCACTATCAGGGACTGTTTGTATACCCTCTCTTTCCCATACACACACACACACACACACACACTTGTGGGTTTAAAGGAATTCACATCTGGGAGGGACGAGACTATGCACATGCAGGCTTGCTATTGGCGAGACCTGGCACGGTGTGTACCGTGATTGGCTGGGGATCCTTTGGCAGCGGCCCGAAGCAGTGACGCTGTTGCTGGGACGGAGTCACAGCACGCTGCTGCCAGTCTGAGTGCCAAGGCACCATCGACGCTGAGAGTCTCCCTGTCTGACCCCCCTCTGATGCCTCCCGAGTAACGAGTAACAACCGAACAACGAGAACTATTCTCCCTGGGATATAAAGACGTATCTTCATCTTTCTAAATGTATCAAACTAAATGTATCAAGGTGCCTCCTTAATAAATATGAAGGTCACAATATAAAAGAGACAGTTCAAGTTGTATTGCCTTTACATCTGCCTTTTCCTTATAAACACGTCCAGCAGGTGGCAATATTGCATTAACTATACCGACCTATGAAGTAACAAGGACTTTTTAACCTGTGACATTTTTACATGTTCCAAGTGTAAATAATCAAGTAAACCATCATTTCTAGTTCCAGAAGTGAAATGAGAATTATATTTTAGTGAGATGAGTATTATATTTTCTCTCTCTCGGATGTGGTTAATCTGACACGTAAATGTCTGCATATTCATTTCAGTCACGTGCACATTGTCCTCTCAGGTGCATTCATTTATTTTTAAATAAAAATAAAATGTCTTAGTTTCAAATACATTTTTAAGACAAAAGCATAATTTACTGTAGCAAGCAACTGTGGCAAATGGTATGCTGCTGCTATCTCAATCCCAGCCTATATAATAATTAAAGATAACAGTTAATGTATTTAAAATGCATATTATGTTGTCTCTTAACATTGACGCATGGGATCATCAATAATAACAACTTCTGTGTTCTGTGATCTTTTTAAAATAACTTTTAAAATTGTGAATTTAATGCAGAAAGGAAAGGTTATGATTGCAGCCTAACAGGCGTATTGTTATTTAGGACATTTTTGTCATCAATTGAATGATGCCTGAGCTTTTTTTAGCTGCTTCAGTTCACGGTAACGTCAAGCAGGCAGGCCACGTCCTGACTTACAAAGAACAGGAACCAACAGGCTCCATCCGGGATGACTTTGCTTATCTTTGGTCATGCTTTTATCAGCTTAAATACTAATGGGATCGGTTAGAGCTGAAAGGGAAGCATTTGACAACAGATACCAATTGATCAATATGGTTGGGCCAATCACTAATTTGACTGCAAACTCCGTTTTTGGTCACACTTTCATATTGTAATTAATATAATCTGAAAGGAGTCTGCTTGATAAAATGAATTGACTCAAGGTGTTGTGTTCTCAGACATAAGCACAGAAAACGGTGACAGTGACGTCACGAACAGTTCCCGGTGGCTGATCGCCCTGTTCAGTGAGGTTTGGGTTCCGGTTCTTTCTGTTCAAATATCCACTCGTCACTTCCAGACATCCGCGGTGTTGTGAGCAATTTTGAAGACGTTCCCTTTTTGAACGCATACCCACACGTGTGGAAATGTGTACTCTTGACATCCTTCGTGGATGCACGCACACAGCTGTAGATGTAAATACAGGCTGTGACAGTTGACACGCAGGTGCGTGCAGGTGTGATTGCCAGGTGTCGCGCGTAAGGCTTCCCTTGTTTACAGGCAACACGGGCGCGGCTTTATCCCTTCACTATTTACATCCGCGAGTACGGCCACACGCACGCTCTACCCCCCCCTCCACCCCCCCCACCCCAATTCCGTCCCTCACATGCGGAGATGGGTTCCTCCTCCGGGCTGCGCCGCTTTTGCCGTGCCGGTGCGCAAACGCATCCACGCCGCAGGGAGGCCAGGTCTCCCCCAGGACGAGGCCGGCGCTCGTCATGCGACTGAACGACTTGAGCGCGTCACGCTCGTCCTCCTCTCCTCTCCTCCTCTCCTCTCCTCCTCCTCCTCATCCTCCGCTTCTGCTCCGTGCGATCGGTGGCTCTGTGTTCCGCAATCCCCTGGGAAACTGCACCGCGCTCGATGGCTCCGCTATCGGTGGCTCGCTCGCACTGAGTGGCTGCCGGGAGCAAGGAGCAGGAGGGGGGGAGAGACAGCGAGAGAGAGAGAGAGACGCGTCTCCCCCTTTTGAACCAACGCTCTGAGTCTTGCATCGACTTCGCGGCGCGGGGGTGAGTGTCTCGCCTCTGTGGGGGGGGAATCTTTCCGGGGGTGGTCTGAGGATTCCTACCGGCGGCTGCGTTGGGAACAGGAGAAGAGAGAGAGGGGGGGGGGGGGGGGGGAGAGAGGGGGAGAGGGGGCCTGTCTGTCCCCGGTGTCCGGTGATTCGGGCAGATGATGATGAACCGCCCATACGGGGCAGTTGACGCTGGGGACAAACGGGCGCCGCCACCCGGGGGAAGGCTCGCGGTCTGCGCGCTCCTAAACTTTTGTTTAGCCGCTGAAATGCGCCCAACCACCGCCTGAGGTTACATCGTTACGTCCGTGTCGGCTAAAATAGGCTTTAAACGCGTTTACTGTCGGGGTTCTTTTTCCTCCTTTTTTTTTTGAGCACGGCAACACTTGCGAGCGCCGTTTCTGAAGAACTGTGCCTTGTTGTGCCCCCCCCCCCCTCGCCTCCCCTCCCCTTCTCTCCCCCCCTCTCTCCCCCCTCCCCTCCGTGCCGCACTGGTTCCGTCTGGCTCGCCCTCAGCTGCTGCGTGTCCCGGGATGACCTGTTGATGTCGGTAGAATGGAGAATGGCAGGGGGAGCGATTTCCCCCATCACCGAAACCTTTGAGTGAGCAGCATTTCGGGGCTTTGACGACCGGGCGTCGCGGCGCGGCTTCCTCCTCCGCTCGGGCAGTAAGTGTCTTTTCTGTTTACGTATTTAAATGTGCACCACGTCGCGGAAATGCCCCGGCGCGGTGCCGCCCCGGCGGACTGCATGAGGTGGATGGCGGACGGTCCCAAAAACGTTGAAGTGTGCTGTTAGCTTAGCCGTTAGCCGCCTCGGCGTAGGCCCGCTGCGGGGGATGCGAGGCGCCGCCGGGGCGTTTGGCCGCAGGACTCGGCGGGGCCGCTCGCGCAGTCGGCCGCTGGCTGCGTTTCACATTGACACACGTGGATATCCGTTCACTGCACGTAACTCCCACCACCTCACCCGCGGGTATCACCGAGGCTCACTGCCATCATGTGCCCCCCCCCCGCCGCCTCCTCCTCCACCTCCTCCACCAGCCACCCCTCTTCCCCTCCGAAGCCGGCCGGCCGGCCGTGGAGCCCTCCCGGCGTGGAGCCTGGCCCCTGGTACCCCCCCCCCCCCCCCCCCCCCCCCCATAACTGGCACCCTCCTCCCTCCCCCGGCCCACATGTCTGGACGTGAAGGTGTCCACGGCGCGCCAAGACCAGGAGTTCCAGACGCGTTTCGATGCCCGTGCTGCTCTATATGCCGGATCTCCCTGTTACGTAAGAGGAATGACGCATCGGGCCTGTATATATAATATATATATATATATATACATATATCGATCCGCGGGCACGGTGCACATGGGGGGCAGGGCATGTCTATAGAGGGGGAGCGCATCGCCATGACTCCACAGTAATCCCTTTCCAAAGGTAAAACTGTAAAGCAGTCAGAGGGTGTAAGTTGTGAAATATGTCATGACATTGACATTAGCTCTTTGGATGTGGACCGAAACGCTCTTAAGCCTCACCATTAAAAAAAAAAAAAAAAAGTCTAAGAACTTTTAAGTATGTTGTGAGTATGTATGACCTACTTATCCCCCTCCCTCCCTCCAGGCCGGTGGTACGAGTGTGGGTGCATTTTGTGAGTTCACGCCGCTGCGCTTTATATGTGTTTAATGCAATAAGGACCCGAGATGATCCCTCTCCTCTCTGCAGGCCTCGCTGCTCCTCCTCGGTGCATAAATACACACATGCACACACAAACACAGTCACATTCTCTCTCTCACCGTCGGGGCAAACTGTGCAAACACACCCTGCTCTCAGCTCCGTGTTGTTTGTGTGTCTTCTGTGTGCACGCATGTGTGCTCGCTGTGGCTCGCCAAACTGTAAACAAGCAGTATTGTCTCATGCCTGTGTGTGACTCTGTGTGCCTTTTGTGGGTTTGTTTGAGTTTGTGTGTGCGCATCTGTGTTTTAGTATGAGGGAGATGGAGCTTGAGTGAGACGGAGACAAAGAGAGCATTTCTCTTTTCCCCCCGGAGCCTGGCGACGTCCCAAATGGAAGGCTTTGGATATGATGGGGCGGCTCACTCCGGCCCTCATCAGTCGGTGGCACCAAAGTTGGTTGTATGCCCCTCGCAGGGTGGGCTTCAATCAGTTTGTTCTCCCAGTATCACTGATTGCCTTTGTTTGTTATGTCTCCTCTTGTGTGGGTGGCGTGCATGTGGCCTCGTAGCACGCCGGGTCAAAGCATCCGTGTGGAAAAGCAGATCTATCTGGGCCTGTACGTTCATCCGCGTGTGTCTGCGTGAAACCGTATGGACGGTGTTCTGCTTTCAAGCGGCGGTTTGCGGGCAGTAAAAGGCCCGGCGCACAATGGGTCTGTTGTCTTGGCTGTGATTGCCGAGGTAATACGGTGGCTGTGGGTACAGAGGCCATATAACGGGGGACATATAATGCCAACACATGTGGTTCTCCGGACTGTAAAGTAGAACGCTCCCAATTGCGATTGTGTGAATGAGGTCATGTATACAAATTCTAACGCATAAAAGAAAATATCTGGTGTCTTTATATATGCTGGCACCGAGTACAATGCGCGTTCTCACAAAAACCAGGCTGTAAAACAGTCCGCACACGGGGTCCATGTCCTCCGTCCTGGGTTCACTCTAATTGAATATTGACATTCATAATGTAGACATCTACGTGAGGGCGCGGGGCAATGGGGTATGTTTTCCTTTGGCTGTTTGGATAAGTGAATGGAAGAAAAAAAAAATGCTTTGTGGTGTTTGTTTAGGCCAGTCTGTTATTGTGTGTGCAAATGTGTGTGTGTGTGTGGCCCAGTTATCTCGGGACACAGGGTTTTGTAGCTCGTAGAAGAGCAGAAATAAAGCGCCATGGAGGAGTAACGCGGCGTAGAATATCTCTGCATTTTGTGTCAAATATCAACCCGTTCGCCTGCCAAAAGACAGTGGGAGGACATATTTGCGGCCTTTGTCAAGTGGACACGCCGGGGACAGAATCCTTTTTTTTTTTTTTTTAGTTTTTTCATTGTGAATTATCGAGCTCCGTGGTAATAAAACGCCATTGGCCATGAGATGTTACTTGTGTGAAGTGGGGAAAAAGGCCCTTTTAGTGTCCCGCACTAAAGCGTCTTGACTCTCCTCACCTGTTCTTTGTTTTAGTCTCTTAACACGTCCCCGTTACGTCACGCCTCCTCCTTTCATTGCCTCCTGCGTCTTACACCAAAGGATGAAGCGGTGTTTGTCATTGTGGTGAATTGCCATTCCCTGCTTCTCCCATCTGGGAATATCACCCTGCTGCGGGCCGTAAAACCACCAGGATCAAAACCCTGTTGAGCATTAAAGCGCCGACTCATGGCGTAAATAGCAACAACCCGATGCATGCAAAGTGAATTAATAACCAGCCTTTATAACAATAAATATATTTTCTTTCTGTTTTTTTCCTTTCCTTCCCCGTCAGACCCTTTGGCGGTGTGCGTCGGCGCACCATGGCCCAGACCCTCCAGATGGCGATCCCAAACTTTGGAAACAATGTCTTGGAGTGTCTGAATGAGCAGCGGCTGCAGGGCCTCTACTGCGATGTCTCCGTGGTGGTTAAGGGCCACGCCTTTAAGGTACTGACGGGAACAAGTGTTTTAAAATGGAAAATTACACTTGTTTAAAAAAAAAAAAAAGAAGCCCCGGTTGAATTAGGCGACGCTGTGGCTCGGGTGTAAACAATGACTCCGGGGGGCTCAGCGGGCAGCCCGCTCATGTCCAGGGTGGAATGCTAATGTACTTGAAAGGAAGCGTTGTTCGGACAGCCTGGAAACGGGGGGGCGGTCGTTTGTGACCATTTAACCGGATGATACACTTTTTCACAGAGAGCAGCTTTTCGTGTCAGTATGAACATCAGACGGATTTGACTAATTTCTCCCTATAGAGCTGAAGGGCAATCGGTTAAATCACTCTTTTTTGCCTTTACTTGGAATGACAACTGGAGCGCTTTATTAGCATGCCATTTCCCACTTTGTCTGTAAAGACAATAGCTTAGATTGCCCCTAATTAAATAGCCCCGAGTCTTGGCTGGATGCCATTACTCACTCTTATTTTTGGCCAAACCCGAGACTAACAGAGCTCTTCTCTTTGGGAGAACTTCAAATCAATATTTTTGGATTCCATTTATGTTAAAGACCTGAATTCTAATTATTATAATACATTATAATTCACTTTACAGTGCACTCTAGTGTAACTATTTTATTTAGGCAGTTTTGTTGTTGTACCCGAACTCTGTTAAAATGATATTCAGCCAATTGAGTGAACTAGTTTTATGTGGCTCTTGCGACGATGTCCTCATAGCAACTCTCTCTGTTTTTAAATCCTGAGGTGTGAATGTAATATTCTCTGTTTCCGTCCCAGGCCCATCGAGCTGTGCTGGCTGCTAGCAGTTCTTATTTCCGGGACCTTTTCAGCAACAGCAACAGCGGCGGAGGTGTCGGCAGTGAGGCGAGCCCGACTGTGGTGGAGCTCCCGTCGGCTGTGCAGCCCCAGAGCTTCCAGCAGATTCTGTCCTTCTGCTACACGGGCCGTCTTAGCATGACGGTGGGGGACCAGTTCTTGCTCATGTACACCGCCGGCTTCCTGCAGATCCAACAGATCATGGAGAAGGGCACCGAGTTCTTCCTGAAGGTACGGCTGAACAACACGGTATCTGAAGCATGATATCTGGGAAAATGGACACGAAGCTTTTGAGTCTTTCAACTTAACAAAACTAATGTAGCACGTTAATTACAAGCTAACACGTATCTGTTATCTACATCGCTGTGTTGACACAAAGTTGATCCACAATCATTTCTAGGTCTCCTCTCCGAGCTGCGACTCCCAGGGCCTCCACGCCGAGGAGGCCCCGTCCTCGGAGCCCCAGAGCCCGGTGACGCAGACCAGTGCCGCTGCCGGCCGGCCCGCCTCCTGCCTGACGCCGCTCCCCCTGGTGTCCCGGGTGAAGACGGAGCAGCCCTCCAGCCAGCCGGAAGGGGCCGCACCTTACTCGGTGGTCTGCACCCCGGTGGCCAAGCGGCTGTGGGAGGGTGGCAGCAGCAGAGATGGGACGGGCTCTGCAGGAGGAGGAGGTGGGGCCAGGAAGGCGGCGCGTTATTCCCAGGAGGCGGTGCGGACCAGCGCCATCCAGAGCCCCGGGGCGCTCGGACTGGCCATGGGCATGGGGGCCCACGTGAACAGCCTGACGGGCACGGGGGCCGGCGGCGGGCTCAGTGGCGGCGGCGGAACCAACGGGTGCTCCGGCGCGGGCCTCGGCATGTCGGAGGGCGCCAGCCCCGGCACCCTGAGCACCTACGCCAGCGACTCGCCGATCAGCTACCACGACGACGAAGAGGAGGAGGAGGCGACGGATGAATGTGCTGAAGAGCAGTACAGGCAAATCTGCAACATGTACACCATGTACAGCATGCTCAACATGGGAGCTGCAGGTAACGGACGCGAGACCGAGTCGTGGGTTGTAGTCGCACGCGGATGAACGCGCGTCATAGATCGTTTTTTACCGGCACTGCTGAAATCTGCTGTTTTATCTGAACGGCTTTAATAGATCATCTGGTTTCTTTTCTTTCTGTACGTGTTTATTCTAATTCCGCACTGTTGTTTTCCTCCAGCAGCTGGTGAGCGCGTCGAGGCTCTGCCAGATCACACAGAGACGCGCGGGCGCATGCGGGGCAGAGACCTCACATGTCTCCCCGTGGAGCTCATCGCTCAGATAGGCAACCGCTGTCATCCCAAACTGTACGAGGAAGGAGACCCTGCTGAGAAGCTAGAGTTGGTCTCAGGTACGGTTTGTGTGTTCTCAAAGACGCACGTCCTTGTGGTTATTTATAATAGCATAACTGTGTTGGTGAAAGACACACTTATGGTATGAAATCGACACGCGCCATGTACCAATGTCAGTGGATTTAAGGAATTGGACATGACGAGGCCAATGGCGGTCATCTAAATTAGAAACTGTCCTCAAACGACTTGGCACTGGTATGCAAATGATGTTGCAGGACCACACAGTTGTTGTTTATGTCAAGGACATCCGATGGCGATGCCTGTTATCTTACAGGCACCTGCCTCTCAACATGTCCCATGACTACGAGGGAGAGAATGAGCGTCATGTACATGTACTGTAACATGTAAACCTGTAATGTGCGTACCATAATAATAATATTATACCCATTGTGAAACCAACAGCTGCAATGTTTGACCTGAATCCGACCTGGCACAAAATACACAGACAACGAACTCCCGTAAATCAGAGTGAAGATCTTTATCATTACTGTGTGACCCATAAAACCTGGAGATGAACAGATCAACCCGAGAGACAATTAATAAGTCGTAAATGGCGTTGCGTACTGATGATGATGATGATGATTGGTGCTGCATTTGTTTATGGGTTTTTCATTCCATGTGCATTCTCTGCAGGTACTTCTGTGTACATATCGCGAGCCCAGCTGATGAACTGTCACGTGAGCGCAGGCACCAGACACAAGGTGCTGCTCAGGAGGCTGCTGGCCGCCTTCTTCGACAGGTTCGTTTCTTCAGTCTATTTCTGCAAAGTCTTTCATGTAAAGAAAGCAAAACCTCACCTTGTAATATGGAGGAAAAGATGTATTTTTTTTATATACTTGCATCAGAGGGATATCAAATCGTTTTTTGGAATCTCTTATTTGTTCTGTGCAAATCATTCTTCTCTTTGATCTATCAGGAATACTCTGGCCAACAGCTGTGGAACAGGCATCCGCTCGTCCACCAATGACCCGAGCCGCAAGCCCCTGGACAACAGAGTTCTGCATGCGGTCAAATGTGAGCTCACATGTTTTCCTGTCCGTGGGTGTGTGCCCACGAGCGTGCAAACAATTTCCACATTTTTCTACATGTTTAAGATGCATGCATATTAAATTAAAGCATGTTGTTGCTTAATCCAACAATTGGCTGTTATGTCTTACTTCATTTAAGCGTAAAAACACGCTTGTTTTTAGCTTGATGAAGGTGCAAACGGGGGATTATTTTCTTCGCCACCCTGTGATTGGCATTAAGTAATAAGCCACGGTGACAGCAACAACCACTCCCATTTATTTCTTTGAACGGGGTACATATTTAAGGAATCGCCAATTAAGGCAGGTGTATACAGTATTCATCAGCTAAAGTGTCTGTGAAAGTTGGACATTTTTCTTTTAAATATACAGTAGAATCTTTTGGATTTAATCCCAGTTTGACCAGATGCACCATCAACACTGTGTTTGAGGAGGAGGCTCCCCACAAACACAGGGTTGATGGTGGAGGCCGCTTAAATCCTCTCAAGTAGGTGAGGTTGTACTCTGTGGAAAAGTGCATTTGAAAAAAAACAAAACCCCACGACTGAATGAGTACCAGACCGCTCATTAAGTAATGTGTGTCTCGCCTACTTTACATTAAAAACACTTCCCCTGCCCACTGTTCCTGTCTGCTCCATGACGCTAGTCCTTGGTCGTAGGTGCAATCGGCCTAATCATTTCGGTTCTCCCCTTTCCATGCCAGTTTATTGCCAGAACTTTGCCACCACCTTCAAAGAGAGCGAGATGAACGCCATCGCGGCCGACATGTGCACCAACGCCCGGCGCGTCGTCCGCAAGAGTTGGATCCCTAAGCTGAAGCTACTGATGGCGGAGAGCGACGCCTACACGGCTTTCCTTCCCGACGGGGTCAAGATTGAGGAGGACACCCTGGGGGCGGATCCAGCCTTTGACCCCGCCTCTCTGGAGGCCGCCGGCGGCGCTGGCATGGAGTCCGCTGGCTCTTCAGGTGAATCGCTACCAGGCGTGGGTGGGGACGGAGGACCGTTATTTTGAACATTGCGTCTGGGGAAGTTTGAAATGGTGACAAACACACACACACACACACACACCAATATTCCCCAGTTCTGCTTGCCTCTACACCCTTTGGCCCTCGCTGATCTCTCACATCTGACTATCTATACTATAACTGCTAGGGTGAACAGATGTTACCCTGATGTAACCAGGACATGAAAACTATTTTTGCTTTATGACTGTACAATGGATTTAGTTGCGTGAAGGGAGAGAGTGAGAGGGTCTTCTCCTAACTGCCCTCTGCCCCCCCTTGTCTTTTTAATGTGTGTAAGAGCATCCACTGTTGCATATTAAATACATTCCCTGAAATGCAGGCGAGGGGGTGAGTTGGCGGCGTAGCCTGAGTAGGAAGGTAGGGTGGGATGGACGGGCAAGGAGTTGAGGTGGCGAGTGTACTGGATTTAAAGTGTCAGTGGCATTCTTCTCTTATGCAACCCTGACAATTTCTATTCCAGCCTAAGGGAAAAAAGGAACTAAATTTAAAATAGATACACTAGTAAACATTAACACTACCCGTTCTTCCTCGCTTCTTCCTCTTACCACTAGGTATTTATCACCACATCATCGTTCTCTAGACCAGAGAATTGCACCCGAGTGTTTCACTGTGCAGCGTCCTATACAAATGTGTTTCATCTGTCTCTTTTTTCTAAATTTTTAGCATGTTTCTCCGTCTATAAACTGAAAAAGTGATCCAGAGTGAAGGTGAAAGCTTTTTACTGAGGTGATTGTAAAGAGAAATTGAAATGGCAACAGGTAATCAAAGATGGTCGTATTTTTAGAAGACAAACTATATTTATACAAGCGCCCATGCCGAGAACGGTGTGAGCAAAGAGAGTGAAAGGGATTGTTTTAAAATCTCAGTCTTCTATTGCTTCTATTGAAAGAGGTCTTGTCAAATATGGAAAAGTGCTATTTTTGCATAAAAAGGAGTTTAATAAAGCAGTCTTATCACAAGACCCATAGCCATTTATTTTTATCTTAATTTGAAAGTGCAGCGTGATGGAATGAGCAGTTGAACTGCTGGATTTGAAGCATTTCATCTTCTGTTCACTAGCAGTGAGGGAATAAGACGTATTTTGCTGGCTTGTCTTTTGTCTCTGAGATCCATTTCTCGTTGGGTTTTGAACCTGCAATTTCTGCCTTCTTCAATGAAACATTGCTCCCCCTCCCCCCAATTTTCAAAGATGACTAGTAGAAATATAAAAGCTTATATTGATGTGACTACTCTGCTGATTTTCTAAAAACTGCAAAATCCACAGAAAAGAAATGATGGCCTATTGGAATGTGCCTTCTAATTGACCAAGCGGATGCCCAGTGGGTACAGTGATGTCATGAGGAGGCAATATTGCTTGAAGAAAATGGATTTGATGGTACTACCCGTGTGTGTGTGTGTGTGTGTGTGTGTGTGTGTGTGTGTGTGTGTGTGTGTGTGTGTGTGTGTGTGTGTGTGTGTGTGTGTGTGTGTGTGTGTGTGTGTGTGTGTGTGTGTGTGTGTGTGTGTGAGAAGCAGCTCTTTGCTAACGAAGGAGAGCGTGTCTTTTTAGTACGTAGTTTATTCATGTATCTAATAAGGACATTCAAAATGGTTGACAGTTTTGTTTTAAGAGTTTGACATGATTTTGCACCCTCCAATGAGAGTGGAGGTTTCTGCACCTTAATGAACCTGCACCTTTTGACAAATGTGTAGCAATTGAACCCGTTTAGGTGGAATTTGTCCTTTTTTTTGTTTTTGTTTTTTTCCCATGTCAGCATGTGTTTCTTGTTTAGTGGCACACGTAACAAGAAACAAACAGTGGCACAAATTCTTACTGTAAATAATCCAAATGACTGTTGAGTTAAATCCCAAGTGTTCTTCCTTTCTGTTGCTGGATGCATCTGATTATTAAATGTCAAAAAAACTGACCTTTTTTTAATGTAAAAGTTAGTGTTTTGCTAGAAGCTTCTTGAATGACCTAAGAGTTTAGCAGCAAAGACTCATCATTCCTGGTGGAGATGGATGGAAGACAAAATGGTCGATGTGAGATTAGGAATGTGAATCGCTCTCACAGACATGTGATTACTTTCTCCTTCTTAGGGGGGGGGCAAGTTTAATTTTCTGAAGACCGATACAGGGTAACAATCCTGAAGAGATTGACGTTTTCTTTAAGCCAGTTGAGTCAACCTTGTTGAAGAAATAACATGATGGATGAAGCAAAGTTATTGGTTTACTGAAATGGTTTGACTTGATATATGGACGGAACAAAAACTGCAGTACCTTGTAAGTATTCTCTTAAGGGTAATGACAACAAAACCTCAGCAAGCTCTACATTTGACTGTTGATGCCACATATGCACCCTTCCCCCACATACCTCTCCGGTGTCTTGGAAGACTTTTGTTCTTCCTCTCCTTCATGCAGCCGGTGTCGTGTTTCACTTTCACAGGTTTATTCATGCGTTTCTGCAGGCAAAGCAGTGGGTTTAGCTGGTTGATTCTAGAATGATAAATATCTTTGATGGGCTTAGTGGCTTCACAGTTTACAGTTCTACTCTGACTACATCTTCCCGTTATTACTCAAATGTTTTTTATAAATTATGACCAAACTAAAGTTGGTGCATTTAAATTAGCACAGTTTACTGGGATCTCACAAGAAGTTATACAGTGTAGCTGACATTTCAGACTTTAAACTTGTCAGACTAAAGAATCTCAAAGTAAATCCTCTATTATACATTCATGTTAAATTTAGCGATGAAATTGAATTATACCTTTTTGTTATTTACCATGATGGCTACTAAATCTGTTCCTGCCTAAACATATAAGGTAGAGGAATAGACAAATTACTGCTCAAAGGTCTGAATTTAGTTCCATTGTCACAGGGCTGTTATTGATGGTGGCTATTAGACATTGGAGAAATCAGAGTGAAATTATTCCCATTAATACCCTGAGAGAAGCATTGAGTCTCCCATAGAAAACCAAAAAAACTAAGATGTTCAGATGCAAATGTAAAGCCTTTAAAACGAGGCAAACCGTAGTTTCTTACAGTAACCATAATACATCAGAAATTTTTTTTTTCTTTGCGTTGAGCCATTCACAATATTTAGCCTAATGAGCCTCAAGAAGAATAACCCTGGTTATTGTACATGTCAATGTCCAAAAGTAACCTCACTCACAACCTTCTTGCACACTGCTTCATATGCATCGTGTGCATGAGTGGTTGCGTTATACTTTGTGTGTATTTGAGAAAAGAGTGATGTCCTGCTTTTTTTCTTTTTTCAACACGTTCTTCGCACATTGTCATTTCTGTATCTTCAACATATGTGTTTACAAAACATGTAGACCTACACACTTGAATAGATGAGGTGTGGCACGGCATGGGGAACCTTTTGTCACTAAGCAGTACATATATAAATATGATTATACACATGTATAGATAAATACTGTATATTATATATAGACGCACACAGAGGTCAGATTGTTTGTTGTGCACTCGCAGCATGAGGTATATACTTACCCGGAAACGGCGCTTCTACACAACCTGTGCAGTAATTGGTCTGCCCTGGTCCATGCCCCTGCTCCTTGCCCTCTGTAACCCTGTAGCGCCATGAGTCATCCTGTACTGCTCATCCTATTTCTGTGTTCCAAGTGCCAATAACCTTGTGAAAGCCCTGTAACTGTGACCCAACATTATCAAAGGTAATTGCACATTAACAACTGTAAAATAAAGAAATACAAGTCATAGAGAAAATGTCAAAATGGATTAAATAATGAATATCTTAATAAAAGATTTGTAACAAATTCTCTGACTCTTTTCTTTTCCTTTCTTTTTTTTGCTGGCTGTCATCGTTTAGCTGCTTTTTGGACGTCTGGCTGGGCTTTAATTTGTTTCTCACAAACAAACAAAATGAAGGTCTAGAAAAGAGTTTTGTAGTGATGTATTTACAATCATGCATTAAAAAAAATAGATTACATGCGTAACAATATGTTTACAGCTAAATCGTAAAGGTCTGTTTTTAATTTGTATTTCTGTTGTGAAATCATTTTTCCGAAGTAACTAACTGCAGTTTACTGCAAGCCACGTGCGACCAGTTTCTCCCATGCTTTATGAACATTTTAGCACACAAACTTGTACCTGCCCTCATTTGGCCATAGTGCATCTTTCAAACATGAGAAGTACTTTCCTTGAAATGACAATTGTCTCACGAGGCCAGTAGTCACTGGCATGTTTTATATTCTTCTCTGTAACAAGGAAAGCACAAGAAAATGACAACAAAATTTTGTAGAGACTGTAAAATAACTGATTCTACCTTCACTAAAGTAAAAAAATGACAACAAAATTTTGTAGAGACTGTAAAATAACTGATTCTACCTTCACTAAAGTAAAAACATGTTATTGAATATAACTACGTTTAAAGAACTGTTAATATCCTTAGCAGCCCTTAAAAACAGCCTGTCCGTTTTAATCAAACTGTCAGCAGTGATTGTATTATGGTGGTTTGTCATGGTCAGTCTATATCCCATGATTTCTGATGTAAATGTTACTAGATGAAGACATGTCAAATAAATCAACCATATGCAATAAAGTAATAGAACTCTTCCTTTCTTTGCATCCTTAAACCAGAAAAATGCAAAGCCCAGAGCACAATCAAATTGTCTTTCTAATCCCCATTCTTAGTGCCCCATCTAGTGTTGAAAGGCTGACAAGACAAATGATTGCAGGAAATGTCTGCACAAAATACTTCCGACTTTCCAGATCAGCAGCTCAAACTTAAATTTCTTATGGAGTTGCTTAATATTCACCAAAGGGGACACAATAAAATGCGACAGCACGTGTATAAATTGTGCAGAGCTCAGAGTTTCTAGCAGAGGAGATCAATGTCCTGTGCAACGCAATGAAATGTTTACTATTTGGCTCATGAAAGTTGTGGAGTTTTACGGCTGACTAGAGTGGAAATAAATAGATTCATATATTTTATGGTGTGCTGGAATTTGAACAGCTGAAGAATACTTAACTCAGGTTAAGGTGGGCTCCACCTGACAATGTGTTCCCTAATGTATTTGAAATGCTCCCCGGCTGTAGTATGTGAAATACAGAATACACACTCAACCCTTTTCTGATTGGATTGATAAAACCGTTGTCAATAATAATTGATTTTGATGAACAATTTTTCTGGTCTGTGCAATTTTGCCTCAGTTTTTCGCAGGGCCAGAAGAGGGCCCTCTTTAATCTATGGTTCACTGAAATGTTCCCCTGCAACTATTATGAGGATTTGAAGCAAAACCATGAGCTGAGCTTTAAAATTGTCTGCAGGAACTGTTGGTCGTTGGTGTTGCTATTTTCACTATAACACAATAAAGTCGTTACTATAAGAGAGGCAACTGATCAACTAAAAATAAACGGGATTGGTTATGAATTATTTTTATTTATTTTCCTTCCTTTTATGCGGTGCTTCATTTGATGCATTCCCATAACAGAGAAAAGTCAAAACAAAATTCCTAAAGGCTTTATTTTATTTAAACCGAAGCGCAGGCTGTCATCCCCTTCAACTAATGTTTTGTTGGAAAGCCACCGCCTGAATAAACCAACTGCATACCACAAATTCCGCTGGAAGAACACGACAGCTCGGGGAAAAAAACCCTCTTTTAATCTGAGGCTGAAAGGTAAAAAAGTACAGTGATACTATCCTGTCATATTGATTACATCACCAGTGTATAAAGTTCAATCTATAAATAGTGTTTAAGAGTACATAGCAGCGTCTGGTCAAACCCCGGTGAAATGGATTCCATTGCCCATATATGGGTTTGGGGAAGCGGCGAGCTCTGACGCAATCAGCGCTACTGTTACTTTAAATGGCTTCAGGAAACAAGGGCTCCCGGACACGTCACGGGTTTTCCTCCGCATGTGCCACGGGAGCAGGATGTGCCTAATATGGGCATCTCTTCTCTTAAAAAGGAAGTAACACACACACACACACACGCACGCTGGGCATGGGTGAGAGTGAAAGAGAAAACAGACACTATCCGAGGCAGGCTTTCTTCACTTTTCCAGGCGGGATGGTATTCATCCCTGGTGTGAGATTAGAAGTGGATTTATTTCAAAAGTTGTACTTTTTCCTGCTGCAGCTTTAGCGAATCAAACAAATCCGAAAGTATTTGTACTGTGGATATCCTGTCCATTTTTGGTGCGGTTTGAGTTATGCAACACCACTTGTGTGACCTAGATTCAGTAAATGAAAACTCAATGGAAAATGTTTCATTTAAAACAGCAGCCAAATGCCATCAGCAGTCATGACCGGGTGGACATGCAGTCTATATCCAGTGCAGAGACAGGTGCATGTTTGGCCTGCATGGCTTTTGGAACACTAACATGGGCTGCTATTTCACGTTCAATATGTGGTGTGGTTTCACGTTTAAGTGTGTATAGTAAAATAGCCACAATAGAGATGCATTTAACAGGCAGGCTGGAGTTTATTGGAGAAATTGGAAATGCACATATCTTGGTAGGTGGTGCTAGAAAATATATCCTTAAGAGCACGCAATGCAATTTCACATGTCTACTCCGTCTATTCTTTCTGGCGTTTGCGAAGTAATTATGTAAATAAGAAAGATTTGGAGTTGTTTGGTTCATTTTCTGTCTCTCCTCCGGTTCGCAGTCGTGGTTAAACATTTGAGCAGGGCGTTGCGATTTTTTTTTTTTTTTTGTTGCTACATCAGCGGATGCAGATTAATCAGCACATGTGCGGTTTTCTCATCACGTCGATGTTTCCGCACGCTCACACATGCATTTCTCGACAGATCAAAAATAGCCACGGTGGCCGTTAACAGTCTCTGCATCCAGCGCTGCTAGAAACAGCAGACCGGCATGAAGGGCGAAGGGGCGGGGCTCGTTCCTATGACGCCGAGGCAGTGACGTCAACAAGGTAATAAGTACTTGTCCTGCTCCCCGGTCTGTTTCGTGTCTGTGTGTGAAGTCAGCGGGGGAAGATTGTGTGTGTGTGGGGGAAGAAAAAGCACAAACATTAACGAGTGATTATTTACCCGGGACTAATTCTCAAAACCAGCCGGGACATGGAGGTCACCGCCGAGGCCAAGAGGATCATGGTCGTGGCTTTGGGGAAACTGTACAGCTCCCGCACCGAGAGAGGAGGTCTCCGTCTCCACCGCAGCCTCCTCCTGACGCTGGTCATGAAATCCGCGCGGGACATGTACCACGCGGCCCAGGCAACGGCGGAGTGTGTGGCCGGAGGACACGAACAACAACAACAACAACAACCGCAGCAGCAGCAGTCGACGGCCGAGCGGACCGCAGAGTCCTCGGGCGCCCAAATGGAGCTCCAGGTCACCGCTTCGCTCGACCCCGTAAAGCCCCGGGGTTCAACCCGGGAGGAGGCCGTGTCCTCCCCCGCCGTCGACCGGCGCGGCGACGCCGAGAACAAGGAGAACCTTTGCCCGACCGGCCCCGCGCAGCGCTCCAGGAAGAGACGCGGCAAAGCGGCCACGGAGCCGGACTTCCTGCCTTGCAAGAAGGCCAAACTTGAGCAGGCGATGTGCCCCCAACAGCTCAGCGCCGTGAATTCCGTGCTGCTGGACTACGTGAATTGCAGCAGTAAACTGGGAGCAGCCCCATCCCCCATTCCCGTGCAGAGGGCCATCGCGGCGTGTTGAAACCTGGCGCACATTTGCACAAGCGGATCATCTCAACGACGCGGCGGCCACGGGTGCGGGGGACGCGCCCGCCGAGGGCCTCCGACCACGGGACAGAGACCCGGGGTGGTGACTATAGTGCGCGCGGGTGTTCTGGAAAGTCCCGTGCAGGACTCCGGACGCGCCGGGCCACGTAACGGGAAACACCCGGAGCAGCGCAGTGGTGCGTAAAGGTCCCGGGGACTTTTTGGCCTCACTGCTGCGGCTCAGTACAGCTGGGAAGGGCGGAACTGAATAAATTGGTGTATCCGGATGGGGCCTCAATGAAAATGTACAGCTCAACAAATGTAACATTCTATGAGAGTGGGGACCAGTGAAGAAAATGTGAAGTCAAATGTACATATAAATGACAACTACCTCAGTATTTATTAAACATTTTTGTACAGAATCTGGAGTGAATTTGTGTGTTAACTGGAATCCACAAGCCAGACAGCGTGGTAGCTAAGACTGTTTCATTTACAAGGTCTAAGTCATTCGAAGTACTCAAGAATTATGTGCAACAGGAAACGTGGGTGTGAAGTTTGCTTCCTTTACCCACAACTTCCACATCCCCCATACTGATTTACACAACAAAGGCAAGGACAATTCAGGAGACTGGGGTCCAAAGAGTGAGGGGGGAGGTTGTTAAACCACGGTCCAGGAATATATTTGGGAACAACTGGGGTCCTTTGAGCCTTCAGGAAGGGTTATGGTCGTTTGTTGAGGGTGCAGAAGGTTAGGTACAAAATTGAATTATCCACTGACTGGAGTTGATTAATGTTATTGTAGGAAATAATCAGTAATCCATTAGAGACAATTGGAAAAAGGAAGATCGAAGCGTCCAAAAGTCTACCAAGAACTGTAGTTCCTTTTTTAAACTGGCTGCCAGTAATGAGTTTTTTTTTTTTTTTTTTGGTAGCACACTCTCAAAGACTCTAAAGCGGGCCACAACAGGGATTCGCTGCGGTTTATGGGGGGGTGGGGGAGGGTGTTAGTCCAGGAACACAAGAGGAAGGAATGCGGGGGGAAGTGCCTGTGTGAGCCCCATGAGGCTGAGCTGCTTATTCTTCCGGCTGAAACCAGAGGCCCCCCTCCTCCCCCGTCTGCGCACACGGGGCCGGGAGGAGGGGCCGGAACCACCCGGACACGTCTGTGAAAACACATGTTTAGACTGCTCTGAACACGTAGGCTCTTTCTTAGCTCTGTCTCTCACGTGTGTTCTCATTGTACCTCATGGTCGTCATTCCACAGACAATCCTTTAAGGTTTCCTTTATTGAAGCTGAGCTCACGAATGGGTTTAAGCTGACGATGTATTCACGTCAAATTATAAGACAACTGTGCAGTTCCCCTCAGGTCATCTTCAAATTCACTCTTGATTTCAAAGCCCTTTCATTTACTCTCAATCTGACCAAGTTTTCCGGCCCAACACCAAACGGCAGTCAGGAAAATGATCAACTAGCTGGTAAAAGCAGTCTTATTTGCATCCGATGCCATTAAAAGGCCAACCAAAGCAAATATAATGGACTTTCAAAATAAGTTAAAAGGGTAAGCATGTCACTGTTCTATTTATTGCTTATTTTGCTGCCTTCGAGTGTCCGCAAGAACAAATCGATGCAGCTCTAAAAGGTACGCTGGAGGTTTTTGAGTGGGCCTCTATGTTGTTTACCGTGTCCACAATACACATTCCTGCCAACAGGGGGGGGGGGGCTGTGATGCACTGAGGAATGCCAGAAATAAGCAAGCAAAAAAATATATACATGTAAACAATGTTTGAAATCATAGCACTCTTTTTTTGTTTACACAAAAAACCCTCAGGACGCCTTTAAACCACAAATTGAGCCACACGCACCGAAAACACAAAATCCAAACACTCGAGCAATAACATGAACAAGAAATGAGGCAAAGCGGTTTGCATTCTCTCTGGATTTTAATCTTTAGGAAGAGTTCTGTTTGGAATTACAAAATGCACTTGTAGAAATAGCGGTGAGACAGCTTGAGAGTGCGACAGATAAGATAAGAGTGTGAGAGAGACAGAGTTAGAGAGAGAGAGAGAGAGAGAGAGAGAGAGGGAGTGCGTGAGAGATCAAAGGTTCCACAGCCAGTTTTAATGAGTACATCATCAGAATTGGCTCTCTGCTGCACCCTGTGACCCCCACAAAAAGTAGAAGGAAGAATACACCACCCGAACTGTACTTACTTTTCTTTGCTTGTATATATATTTTTTTAAAACAGTTCCTATTGTGGTGTCGCAAACATGGTTGTGTTGTGCCTCAACCCCATGTAACAGACGAAAATAAACTCTCACCAAAGCCTCTTTTGTGGTTTTAATCTTTAAACATTTTTTTTTGGTAATTTTTAACCTTTTTTGTTTTCAAAAATAGAAGAAAAAAGGAAACATTGCTTTTTAAAAACATCTATCTACCTATATATCTTTTTTTTTTTTTAATTCCTCTGAATTCATTTATCTGCTTTTTCTTTTATGTCCTGAAGATGACTGTTAACCCACGGTGTGGCATGCACATAGCACATGCATTTCTGGAACTAGATATTTTTTCCTTGTTTTTTAAATCTTACTTAAAAAAAACGTTTTTTTTTTCTCTTCTCAGTAGCGGCTATACATTGCTTTTTGAAGACTTTGTGTGGATAATCAGCGTGTTAGTGGTTTCCACTGCAGTATAGACACAAAGATGGATGGTGAATGTTTGGGGCTTTGCATGTTTCATTCAGGGGGTGTCTGACAACACACACACACACACACACACACACACACACACACACACACACACACACACACACACACAAACAATTACAAAGTCAAAGATCGTTACAATAATTTGACTAAAACATCTTAAAGATTTCAAAAGGATTTCTGGAGAGAAAAAAATATAAAGCAAAGTAAACACGAAAACAAAACGCCCAGAAAGCATCTAAAACACATACACACACTCATACATGGAACCCCCACTAACACACACACACACACACACACACACACACACACACCACAACCAGCAGCTACATACTTGGTGTGCTTTCTGATTTGAAAAAATACTTGTCTGTGACATTCCACTGATGTTGGAAAGACACTAATAGGCAGTTTTTTTTTCTTTTCGATTTTTTTTTACGGTGCATTCTCTGGTCAACGTGTGATAGGCCTCAGAGCAAAACGTAGGCCAAACAAATACAAATGAAAAGAATAATGTTAGGGTGGACAGTGGTGTGCGTTAGTGACAAGTGTTGGATTGAGGCACACAGAGTAACACACAGAAATAAATACAAGATATACACAAGTGATACACACACAGATGTTTTCCATGACCATGACAAGGCCAAGACATCTTTTCTCCAACCCACCTGCACTGTGCGATACAGTCGCCGGTGTTTACACCAGGTGAGCACAGACAAAGGTGGTTTACAAGTGAGAGAATGAGCTAAGCAGTTTTCTTGGTGCGCATATACCGTAGAACAACTCTGAATCACAAGTGAAGTTGGAGGAGAAGTACAAAAGACTAGAGGGACAGTGTTTGTCGTACAGCACCACTGGAAGGTCACAAGCGGTGGTGGAACTCTGCTTTAGCGTCCGCAGGAGAGAAGATGCATCCGTTTAAACTGCTGTTTTTCTTTTTTTAAAGGGGACTAAAATTCCCCCGTCGTCCAAATTCTATATGGGCTTTGAAAAACCCGTGAGGAGAAAGGCAGACCTATTGACTGCTATGGATCATCTCAGAATCATGCATGACCTGCTGACTCATTCTCCCACAATGCAACTGTGGGCTTGAGCTCCACCCCCGGGGTTGGAAAAATGATTAGCTGAGCTCCAAAAAAAACAAACAAACAAACAAACATACAGAACAGAATATCAAACCAAAAATGGATAATCGGTCCCATTATCAAGATCATCATGATCATTAGAAGTTATTATATTATCTGTTCATCCATCATTACGGTCAATAACAAAGAAACAACAATGAAGAGTTTCTCTCCTTTTGCCGCCTGTCTATTGGTCTCTTTCTCTCGGATGTCCCTGTTTGAACCCCAAACCGTGGAAGACTTTGAGATGTTACGGTTTGTCGGACTTGTTCACCAATATGGACATCGCATCTTTTAGCCACTTTACCCTGCTTCCCCGTGTGTCGTTGTTCCACTATTATTACAAAAAGTTGACTCCACAAAAAATATGTGCAATTCCAGCTGTATCAGTGGCAGGCATCTCGCACGGAATATTCAGACAAGCAAGCAAAAAGTAATCATTTCGTTCAGTTTAGTTACACATTACAGCGATGAACCTCCCTATAACGTTCTGTCACTTGCTTTGAGTGTAAATGAAGGTAAGTGAGAGGAATGTCATAGGGAGATAGAGAAACAGAAAGGCATTTTTAATCAAAAAGAGAGAAACCCTGCAGACCACAACAGAAAGGACCAATAGAATATCGCCCCCACATACAGTAAATTCTCATTGATGCTATTATTATTATTATTTTTTTTTTTGTATCATTCATGCAGGATTCCACAAGGTGTACAACTCCGCAAGTCTAAAAAACGAAGCTGTGTGGGGTGCAACAGAAGATTCAAGCTTCAATGTTTTGAAGAAGTTAAAGAGAAGGAGGAAGAAGAGGCAGGAATAGAAGAAGAAGAAATACCGCAGAAAACAGCTACAGGTTTGTTTGTTGTTTCTGAAACCCATCTCCACGTTTCGGTTTTTCTTCTCTCGCAGGGGGAGGGCTGAGGATGGATACATTGTTTGTTTTTTTCCGGGGAGCAGGGAACAACGTTGAACATCCCAAACACACCCGTCCTGTCGTCGTAGATTTTGACCACGGGACTCATCGACCCAGCGCAACAATCCACAACTCTCTCAGCCAGCCTTCTCACCTCATACAGGCGGAGGGCTCATTGACAGTTTTTGTTCTTATTTAAAAACACAGATGATAAAACTCATCAATATTCAACTGGTGGGCGGGAGATTTGGATTTGATTCTTTTTTTGCAGCTAACTTAACTGACGTTAGCTTTGAGATGCAAAAAAAACAACAACAAAAAACAGTGGTCTTTCTTTTGTCTCTGCTTGTAAAGTGTCTTTTGTCGAGTCGCAACTCTTGACATCTTGTAAGTGGCTGTAGCTCGTTGCCAGAGGCGGAATTTAAGACACAAAACGACTAGGGTCCGTCACCCTTCCTGCTTGCATCCTTAAATACTGAAGTTTGGGTTGGTCTTATTTGGCATCAAGATATGAATGCAACAACAATGCAAGCAGAACATGGAGGTGGTTGCCCCTCAGATCCTGCCTCGGCATTCTTGTTCCACCCCTTCATCCTGAAACCCATCCCTTCCTCTAGCCCAGCATCGCCTGGACGTGCCAAGCAGTGGCGGGAGAGGAAAACATTGAACAGGCAAGAAAGAAAGATTCAAGGTTTCCCTTGGCAGTCAGAGCCCTGGCTCAGAGCGTCCCGCCGCCATCTTTTCCCCCCGTCCGTCGATCCCTTTTCCTCCTTACACCCCATCCCCCCCCCCATCCCCCTTCCCCAGGGGGCTAGCACCAGTCATCGTCCTCCGTCTCGCTGTACGGTTCATGCAGGCCCTTGCGGGGACCTCTAGGATGGCCGGCTGGAGGGGGCACCTTGTGAGGCCCCGTGTGCGGGGGTCCATGGGGATGTGTGGATGGCGATGAAGAGCGGTAGCCGTTGGGCAAGCGGCGCTGGGCGGCAGGCTGCATCTGGCCCGGCCCTGGCCCCGTCAGGGCGGTGGTGGGGGGCGGTGCTTGGCCGGCAGTCCTGGCTGAGACGCGACTGGGCTGAGGGTGGGGCTGGGGATGAGGGTGAGGGTGAGGGTGGGGGTGGGGGGGGTTGTTTACAGGGTGCGGCTGTGGGGGAGGGAGGGGATGGGGGTTATGTGGCTGCGGTTGTGGAGGAGGCGGCAGCGGGTGGTTGGCTAGAGAATGCGGGTGGGGGTTGCCACCCTGCGAGGGGTTCTGCTCATAGGCAGGTGGTTCATGGTGGGGCTCGTAGTCCTGGTAGTCCTGATCGTAGAAGCAGCCATCCCCTTCTATGGAGCCGCCTCCTCCACCTGAGTCTCCCCAGCGAGCCGGGGGGTGGTGACCTTGGCGGGAAGCGCCATGGTGAGCCATCGGGGGGCCGGCTGGAGGAGGACCCTGTCCCTGGGGAGGCTCAGGAGAAAAGCGGCGGGGGGCCGGGGCCGGGGGTCGCCCCTGCGCCCCCCCAGGCGGTGCGGGCATGGCCTTGCGGACCACGGGGGAGTAGGTGACGTGCGGCCGAGGTGTTGCGGGGGTCTGAGGCAACTGTCGACGGCCTCGTCGGGGCGTACTGGTCCCCGAGGTCGAGGGGACGGGACTTCCGCTGACCGAACTACTGCCCTACACGAAAAGTGAAATAAAGCAAATAAAAAGAACGAACCACAAATTCAACGACAGAACATGTAGAATAAAGAGCGTGGGAGAGGTAGAGTATGAAACAAAGGGAAAGAAAGAATGCAAAGACACAAACAGGACCCAAAGCAAGAGGAAGCATAAAAGCACCAGTCATCATGTGTATGGAGTGGAGGAGAAAGGAGGATGTGGACAAAAAAGATGAGGTTCCAAACAGCACCGTGCACAGACAAGCAACATGTCACGCAGAGGAGAGACAACAAAAGACGACAGGAGAAAAGAAGGGTAAAGGGTTGATTTCTGGAGCAACAAATGAGGTACAGGGTAAATATGATGACTAAACGGACAAAAAATGTGTTTGGTTTCAACTTGTTGTTAGTGTATGTATGCAGTTCTTTTAACACACAAAGGCAAAAATTAATTTGGGGACAGGAAACGATTCTTCCCCAATTAGTCTGCTTTTGTAAAACAAGTTATAACACAAACAAATCAATATATATGACTGAACGGGGTGCATCACGGAGGTTATCATCTCTTCGTTTCCAAATTTAATAGGAAAAGCTTTAGATGACGTGTTTGGAGAGGGAAGGTAGTGGAGGGAACATGAGGGAACGTTGGCACTTCAAAACATTAAGGAAGGGAAGATAAAGACAGCAGTCAGGTACACAAATATACATTTGTATGCATATTTGTTTGGGTTTAACAGTGATTTGATAACAAAGACTTCCCATGACAAACATTTACTTGTATTGACATAATCACACGCAGAATATTGCGTGCATGGACTCAAACATATTCAGGGCAGCAGCAAAAAGTAACGTGGTCCTATAATAATCATTTCTATTCTTCATCAAACCACATTCTTTCTTTTGAAGTGTGACTTTATTGTATTTATGAGGACTGTTTTACCTTATCAAGTGGTCTCTGACAAAAGCTTCCATAATAAAACCACATAAAAAATGTCACACTGAACAGTGTTTTTTTAATAACTAGCACCGGTTAACCAGTCAATCCGACTAGAGGCTCTTCTTCAGCATTTTTCAGCATAACACTCTCTTTTCAAACAGGACACCACGTGGACACAAAGTTCCCGAAAGCCCACCTGTCTGTGCGTCATGCACTCGCGACCCTCGCTGGGCGATCTTGACCAGCGGCGGTCCCTCTCCCTCTCCCTGTCGTGGTCCCTGTCGTGGTCCCTCTCGTGGTCCCTGTCGTGGTCCCTGTCGTGGTCTCTGTCGTGGTCCCTGTCGTGCTCCCTGTCGTGGTCCCTGTCGTGGTCCCTCTCGTGCTCTCTGTCGCGGGAGTTCCTGTGTCCGTAGTCGGCCCCTCGCTCTGCTACATAGCGCTCCTTGTCCACTGAGCCGTGGTGGTGGTGATGGTGGTGGTGGTGCTTTCGGTCTTTGGACCGGCCGCGGTCTCGGTCGCGATCCTTGTCCTTGGACGTGAGGTCCCCTGACTGGGTGGTCGTGCTCAGGTCTGTGCCCAGGCCTTGACGAAAAAACATTGCTATGAGATTAGATACAAACACAACATAAGGAATATAAATATAAAATAATTTGTATTATATTGTTGCATCTGCGTTAACAGCATCATGCCGTTGTTATCTATACATGTGGTTATTTGTGTGTGTGTGGTCTCTCACACCTGTGTCACCCTCCGTGTAGCGACAGAGGGACCTCTCAGATGCACGATGGCCCCGGTCTTTTCGGCGGTGTCCATGTCTGGAAGTCCTCCCCTCCTCGGGTACACACTCCATGCTGTAGTCGTCTGCACCTCCTCTGTCTCTCTGGCCCCGCCCACACCTGCTGTGGCCCAGCGACGAGGCCGAGCGCTTCATGGAACTGCTGTCATTGATGGTCTGTGAGAGAGAGAGGGAGAGACCCCCCCCGAGGAAGGGAGGGAGAAAGAGGGAAAGATGCAGGGAGAGAAGTTTCCTTTGATTGTCGAGTGTTGGCTGCAAGGCTCGAGGGACATTCTGCGATGTGTGCGTAGGTATGTTTGGCACCCGTTTCTTGAAACCCAATGAAAGCCCAACTACACATTTTAAAATATATACATTTTATAGGGCAGGGATCGGCAGAAAGCAGACTTGGTGCTGCATCAGAATTATTTCTGTAATTATCAAAACAAAGATTATTTGTCATGTCTGTCATTCTGCACCAACCTGCTGAACAGGATCCAATGTGAAGAACTCCTGTTTCAAATGAAGTCCAATGAGCAGAGTAATAGCTAATAAAATATAAAACGCTAATATAAAATTTAACTATTTTCAGATAGTGTTTTTGATCTTGTATGTTACCAGGTGAATAAAATATATATGTTTTAAGAATTCAAATCACAGGCTTGTGTCTCCATTCCACCTGCAGTGACCACCTGATGAGACCAACTGTCTCAGGGCTGAAACTGTGCTAACAGCCGAACCCTGATACAGAGGAGTAGAAAAAAGTATATAAGAAAAAGAATAACGTGAAATAAAGTAAAAGAGATGATCTCAAACGGCCATGCCTTCCATGCTTCTGTAACTGGCTTCGTAAAAGTAAAAAAAGGAGATAGAAATGTCACTGCGACTTGCAGCAGTCCTCCGTCCCGGCCACCCAAAACCCCCAAAACATGACACATTCCAGGCTTCACCAAACCCCTCTGTTTCCTCTACTCTGCTGCAGCCATGCAGGCACACAGGGGGTTGCCCTGAGTCATCTAGCCAAACGAGAACCTCCTCTGCAGTGCCGAGGCTTCGCGCTCTGAGATGGGACAGCAGGACAGAGCCTACGGTGCCACAAGCCGCCGACCGGGTCACGCAAACCGCATCGGGGTTTCTCCAGTGCTGGGTCCTTTCGGCTGCTGGGCCGGGCCAGTTCCCCAGTTATTGCGCATTAGACGAATCGAATGCCAGGTGATGGATTTATTCATCACCGATTCATCTGGCCTCAGAGGACGAGCACTGAGAGAATCCCAACAACACACACGTCACATACCCTCTCTCTGTCTCTCACCTCACATTCTCTCGCACAAAAACACACTCCCTCCTAAGCACATTCCAAACAAATTCCGTGCATGCAGGTGTGAATGGAGACTCGCGAGACAGGCGGGGGGGGACCTGAAGACAGATAGCGGAGGAGCACGAGCAGCAGCTGACAGAGAGAGCAGCAGAGACACAGAGGACACGGGACAGTGGGGCGCGACCGTTGATGACCACAGGGGACGTGCGCAGATGCAGCAAATGCTGGGGTGCGTTTTGGAAGCTGGCCCTGTGTCAGATTAGGTCATGCCAGAAAAGGTTTCCCCGATCCGATCGGCAAAGAAAACCGCTGTCGTGATGGCGATGACGACAGAATACGGAGAAATGGCAAATGGCGACAAGAGAGGTTGCAAGAGGGCGCGAGAGTTAAAGGGGAGAGAAGAGGAGGAGGAGAAAGACAAGACTTGGGAAGACAGGGTACATACACTGAGGTTACTGCCACGTTGTCTCCCTTTCCTCCGCTGCTGTATGAGCACAGAGAAGACGCACGCACACGCAAAAAGAGCCACGGAGGCGTCGTCACACATTCACACAAAACCAAGAAGAAGGAAGGAGAGTAAGGGAGACAGGAATGGGTTGATTCACAGTAGAAGAGAGAAATGGGGTACAGTGGAGTACAAAGAAAAAAGAGTGTTAGGTGGAGGTTCAACAGCGGAGAGGGGGAGGAAGAAGACAGACAGAGGGACAGAGAATAAGAGTTTGATTAGACACTGAAGAAGCAGTGAAGGTGGAAGAGAAACACTTACCACAGAAACTTGGAGGGGGGGGGGGGGGGAAACAGGGTTATATAGACAAGGTCACCATGAAAATGCTCAAACAACAGCCCCTACGGTCACAACAGCAATGAGGACAATCAGCAAAGTACACAGATGGATATCCACACACACACACACTCATACACTTAACTCAGACTGACAGGCAGAAGTGACTCAGGAGGAGATTCATTACACAGAAAGAACTGTGGGACCCACGTACATATGTCACACACTCGCACGCACCCACACACACACACAAATGTAACGCGTAATTTACTGCTGCCTCCGGTCCTTATTGAAAAATAAAACAAAACAAAGAAAAAGCCCTCAAAATCCAAAGAGTTCAGCACGGGCAAAACCTTTGACAGGAAGGAAGAGGCAGTTTAGTAGAAAAACAAATCAAAGAAACGAGTACCAAACCAAAAAAAAAAGAGAAAATAAATGATCACAGGGCAGGGAGGTGTGTAAGTGTGTATAGTGCGTGTTTGTATGTATTTAAAAATATGTTGTGCGCATAAGACAACTAGAGCACTCATCGAGGTATGGAACAGGATAAAATGCATGAGTGTGTCGGATGGAAACACCCATGGATAAAAATCTCCATGCAGGAGGCAGGATGAGAGGAAGAGATGACAACAGGAGAGGATGATGAGCCGAAGGTCTCACTTTGCCTTGCTGCGGTCCTTTGGAATTCAAAGGTCAACGTTTGAGGCTTTAGCCAAAAATATGGTACCAACAGCACATCCTGTTTGATATCATTCACATTGTTGTTGGTCTTTTGGCTTAAAAAATGAAACCGTTCAGAACCACACCAGTAGTAAAAGGAATTTGTCGATAAGGTCTTCATTTAGCAAAAAACCCCACCAGCCAAACTTTCCCCAACAAGGATTCCAGCAACCACAGCAATAAATGTTTGAGAAACAAGTCGGACCTTTTGAGAATGTGATCTTTTCAAACAAAAGACGAGGAACAGAGACGATGGGGTAAATAGAGAGAGAGTGGAAAGATGAGAATGCTGCTCACTTGATTGTCGCCTGGGAGGCGGGGCATGGAAGCGGCCCTGCCATGGCCTTCCATTGGTGGAAAGTGCTCAGTATCCGAGTAACCATCTTGCCCCATCTCTCTCATCTCTACCGTCTGAAAGCAGAGCAGCAGAGCAGGAGATGGTGTGACGGCCGCCATGAAAACTGATGGGTGGGTGGGTTTGTTACAGAGAATTGAGGGTCTCAGAGTTAAAAATAGTCAGTGGGAGAATTTGGTGAGTGTGTGTGTGTGTGTGTGAGGAGGAACCTTCTTTGTTAATTCTTTCTTTTTTTTAATTATGCAATGAATGAAAAAAGGAATAAATTGTTTGGATCTTCAGTTTATAAGTACACTCCAAATAAAATCTAATTTTGGCTTTGCAAAGGCTGCTGTCAAAAATGGAGCAGGAAGCAAATGTAAAGATACCCTCTTTAATGACATCAATGGCAGATGGAGAAGCTCGGGAGCAGGAATGGATTTGAAGGGAATCCCGGAAACTGATCACATGACAATGTTTGCAGGTGCTGAGGCCAAGTACACTAACTGCGTTAAAGCAATTCAGTTTGGTTTACATCAAGTTATCAAGTCATAAACAAGCAAATTCCCACCACAAAAATGAGAAAGTCTATTTTGTTTGGAGTACACCTTGAGAACTGGAGCTGAATTTGGCAGCTGGCACAATTTAAAAAAGAGACGTGGAGATCGAACCTTAACTATAATGAAATAAAAAAACTCTAAATTATGCAATTAAAGAAATGGATAACCACTTACAGCATGTGCTGACTGACGTCTGTCTTCTCATTACATTTTAGGGTTTGGGGATTTGGTGTCTACAATCTCATGTTGTTGTTTCTGTTTCTGCCTTATTCAACTGTAGGTCATCAATTGATGTCATTTGAATAGAGGCGACAGCCACTCTCTTCTATGCAACTCCTGAGTTTAAACTTCTCCACACCTCGAATTGCGGATGGATGTAGAGAGGTGGCTTTGTTATGGGGGCTGACTGATACAGGCCCTCCAGGAGGTCTACAAGCAGAGAGGTTTATGATGACAGGGACATGAAGCACTCTGAAGAGGGGCCAGATAGACTCTGAATGACATGTGGAAACATCCGGTGAAGGAAACGAGGAGACATGGAACTAGTCAAAGAAAGGTTTACTTTTTTAAGTCTACGGAGGAGATCATAACTAGAAGATGTCCTACTGAGTAGAAACAATAAAGGCAGCGAGGCAGAAGAGATGTGACAATATGCTCTGAGCTTCTCTCGTTTTTAACAAGGTGGTTTCAGATTATAGAGGACCGCAGTAGGATGCATTCTTTTTTTCCTCAACTCCTGGAAAACCATCAACCGTAAGTTCATAATACTGATACTGATTTGACTAGAATGGAGAGTTAACACATGGAACAAGAAGCCATTTAACACCCTGCTGTATTTCTACTTTAACTTCAGCTATAATGAAGGGAACACAAACCTGATGTCCTTATGTCCTTACACAGAGGTTATGAATAACAGGGACACATATTTCAATGGAGATGGATTTGCAACTACATGAAGATCGTAGATCATTTTAACATTTAAGTGTCCTCAATGCTTCGTTGGGAGTTCATGCGATGACATGAAAGTAAAACACGAATGTTGAATGGGGTCGAGTGTTTGAGTACTTTGTTGGTCGTATTTTCTATCTGTGCAGTGCGTGAATGCTGTTTGATGTCGTCCCGGGGGGGTGCGCGCGTGTGTGCACTCTCTACCTGAGAGTTGCTCATGCGTCCCAGGCCATCCTCAGGGTGTCCCTCGGGGGTCCAGCTGCCAGCCTTCTGGGACATCTCCTGAGCACGAGCCGTGACCCATGATTGGCTCTCCGGGACCCCCCCCTCCACCGGCCTGTGACGCGCACAAACAAACCATCCCAGATAACTCGTCCTTAATCTGTCTGCCTTTCCACAAACCGACCTCCTCATCAAAATAAATCGGGACAAACGAATCCAACTCACAGGCTGTTGACGGTCTCGGTGGTCTCGGGCGGAGGGAGGGCGTTGTTAAGTCCCGGGCCCCCATCCTGGGTGGGGGAAGGAGGCTCCACGCGCTGAAACAGTAATGGCGTTCGATTCTGTGTGAGATATACAACATGGCCGTCGCCAGCTATCAGGCAGACTGACAGGGGAATGGGGGGAGAGGGGGCAGAGCAGGGAACAGAGGGGCAGGTAGAGAGGGGGGCTGTCGGCTGATGCGAGGCCAGGCAAAAGAGGTAATGAGGTAAAAGGGGGGAATAAATGAGAGCGAGGGAGTCTCGAGCAATTGAGGGGGGGATGGAGGGAACCGCCGACCCTTCGAGGCAGTCAGTGCGGGACTCTAACCATCGACAGGCTTTGTAAGGTCCGATAAGGATGTGGAATTCACCCACCGCGTATGGAATTATAAGAGAATGATCATAAGAGTGATCATTCCAGATTCCATCGGACACTTAGACAGAAAAACAGAACCTCAACATCAAACGGGAGGAATAAAAGGGGGCCTCGTTCAAAGGTCGATGGAGGGCATCACGGCAGAGACACACTAGAACAATCCTGTGGATGGGAACATATAGCAGTTGAAATGCAGGATAAGACAATGCTACGTTCACTGTCATTCATTTACAAGTCATCTACTTTAAACGTCTAAACAGTCCTACCTAATAACTAACACATGAAGTAAGGTGAGAGAGGTGTAGCACAGCACAGGTCCTCTTTAGCATTACAATTTTTCACTTTTGAGCTTCTTAATTTATAAACCTAGAGGACTGCGAAGGTAGGATGAAGAGGGTGGAGAAGGTTTGTGGACATCGGTGCAACAGTGTCTTTGCACGTGCAATGAGACATCAGGTTGGTGAGTGTCCTCAGATGCATGCATCTCGTTATGTTTACGGTCCATGCTGGATGCATAAACCTGTTAGGGACCATCATATTTTACTTCTGATATCATTGATTCAAGATATCATCTCATCATCTGATTTACTCAGATAAAGTACAGCAAAATCAAAGTTGAGGGGATCCCCTCTGTCCCGGACCTTCAGGGTAGGGTGCAGCAATGATGCAGTCACGATGCAAATCTTTAAGTCAGCTAACAAGCATAAGTGATGGGGAGTGAGGATTTACAGCATCTTTAAAAGCAGTCCACCTCAAGGGCTCTGACAACAAACTCGCCTTCTTCAAGGCAAACCAAGATTTCTCAGGGAAACTGCTAAATAACTGCTACACTCTGATGGAAATTATCCAGTAAATTAGAATTTTAAATGTGAAAAGTACAATTACGTTGCATTTATTTGTGCCAAAACACAAAAAAGCACTGAAAAAGCAAAGAGTGATGAACTTCGCCCAGCAGATGGCAGCACTGTTTTGTCTGTTGGAGAGTTGGATTTGTGTTTTTGTGTGTTTGCAGCTGCCCTTTATGCCCCTTTTAGGCGGCTGTCCACATTGTTATGTCAGCCTTTTTTTTCTCAGAGGTTGTCACAGCCCAAGCTTATATGAATGTGACTGCAGCCCTGCAGCCTGGGAATCTGTGCGGTCAGTCTGCCTTTGACTTCAAAGGGTCGGATGCAGGTAGAGCGGAGCGGCATTCCCCCTGGAGACAGCAGTACCTGCTCATCACGAAGGGCCTGCGAGCGCTTGATCTTGCTCTGGCGGTAGTACTCCATGATCATCATAGCTGCGTAGATTTTCCCCACTGTCAAGTCTGTGGCTGCTGAGAGAATGACAAGTTACCCTGCAAGATTAGACCTTTTGGAATGGACCCTGAGCGCAAGGAATGGTAGAAAGGGGTGAGGCATGCACACAAACGGAGAAACATCTCACGCACAACATTGAGCAAGTAGTCTTTTCACAGAGAGATTTTTTTCTTTTTAACTGTAACTTACTTTAGTTTGACTCGGTATAGCATTTACAGTTATCACAGACAGAACCTTGCAACCAAAGCAACTCATTGGGATCATAGAAAATTCAGTCGCTCCAGGGAATCTGCAATCAAGTGATCGCGAGAATCAATGCAAAAGTTATCAACGAAAACAGAATGAATGAAAAATAAAAACTGGGATATCTTGACTTGGACTTGATTGCACAAAACATTCTAATAGCAAATCGCTTGCATTTCAAGAACGGAAGTAAATATCAGATCATGCAACTGTGCATTAGCACCTGTGCATTTCTTCTCAGCGTAATAAGACTAAAAATATATACGCTATCTAAAGCACAGCAAGCCTAGGGGACACAGCTGATTGGCCCCTGAAGTGAAAAGACGTCTATAGAGGGTTGATCTATAGTGAGGCACCCTCTGATCTGAGGCACAGGGAGAGACAGGGGTCGGGTGTATTCTGTAGCTAAATGTAAGCACAGGAGAATGGGAATCGTCTAGTTGTTTGGTGTCTACGTGCAGCCCGAGCTTTTCTCAGTGCACCTGTCGTGTCTTGTGCATGGGCGAGGTAACGTGCCAGCTGTATCAGAGGGTGCAGCAGTTAGAGAGAGACTGACTGAGAGAAGCGGTCCTCAGGTGGCGTGAAGAGAAACAACGTTGGAGCAGTGGGCGGCACACAGGGCGGCTGCATCCGAGCCACATTGCTGCGCCTGCACAACACTCTGCAACTTACACTTGTGTGGTGTAACCAGCAAATCCAGAGTCTTCTGGGAGAGGTTGGGCCAGATCGCCATCATCTCTTTCCTCAGCTCTGCGTCCATCTGGTGCTTGTCAATGCCACCTACGCAGATTCATCAAGCACGCGCATGCACGTATATACGGATACACATGCACATATATTACATATATTACATGGATATTAATGCCAAAGTTACAGAACACGTATGAATGTTTATAAATAGCAGTTCAACCATTCACCCATTCAGATTGATAAAAAATGTGAAAGGGAAAACAAGGACGGACAAACAAACACAAGATTTGTATTAGTACGTGTATCATAATTTCTAATCATCAAATCTTAACTGCATTGAAAAATGTACAGTTTTAAGTGGTTGGGAGAACTTCTAAAGGATCTCGTACACAAACTGCTACACAAAGTGATCTACTGCCATGAACATCCCGCTGTAATCCAGCTACTGTGGGAGAAGCATCAAGAAGAGCTGAAGGTTTCTGGCTTCAGCACAGAAATAGCACCACGGGGGTACAAGACAAAGTAGAAGGCAGCCAGTGAAAATTGGAATCAAAGGAGGAAAGAGGGATTCCAAACCTTCCGCGCCCTTGGCGATCTTGATGTCCAGTGCCGTGCGGATCAAGGCCATGAGGGTGGAGTTGAAGTGGACCGAGTTGTCGTCGGCCACAGGCAGATCCATCCGAAGCAGTCTCTGTGGGAGAGCCAATCAGGGTGAGAACATGGGGCGGCAAGTGGAGCGGCACGCGTGTGGAACCTCCAGGTGACAAAAGGGGAGGGAGGGAGGGGTTTGGGTAAAGGAGTTTGAAGGAGCTTTGCACATCACCTGTAGCAGGCCCCGGCTGTCTGTCTACCTTCAACAAATGGCTCAGGCTCAGCTGCTGTCAGGTTAGGAATATTTTATGCAAAGTACCAATTTTCAGGCGTTCACAGATTTGAATCCGTTTTGTCATTTGAGAGAACCTGTGAGTGCAAAAGATTCTTCCTTCAACTGGTATATTAACTTATCCTACAGCCAGAATGTTATCAATGCATGTTTGTTAAAATCCAAAAGACCTCACAGGTTGGTTAAACCGACAAGCTTGAGCCTTCCAAAAAGTAACAGGCGGAGTTGCGGGTAATCCAGAGCTCCCCCTGCGGGTTTGGAGGTTCACAGTGAAAACAACAGCGACCAGATGATTACCCAATAAACAAAAAACAACCAAGGGACCAATCTAAGGAAGGGGGAACGTTGTTTATTGTTTGTTGGTTTGATCCTTCATAGGTCTTGTTGGTTTATAATTGAAACAGACAGCACACAGACGCACACCAACTCACGGGTGACAGAGTGACTTTCGTGTGTGTTTGTTGACAGGAGACGGCGACAAACCCAAACATGCAGCTAATCATGCCTCCCCCAAATGCGAGTTAAATGTCTCTCCTTTAATCCATTCATTAAAACTTTCTTTTAATCTCTACCCTTCCCCCTCCCCCAAAACCGTTCTTGCACATCCCTCCCTCATGCGGCATGCGATGCACACACAATATGCCTCCCAGGACAAGCAGCTGCACAGCCGTTCACGGAAAGCATCCTCTGTTGGCGACATTAAAATGATTTTGTGAGTTGTTTTAACGTTGGAATTATCAAAGGGAATAAAACAATTTGTGGAAGATCGGGCGAGGCTGAGATAGTAGAGCACCTTCGCTCGTTCGCTATTTTTCTGATGTCTGAAGTATGAAAAATGGGCACAGACTTGGAGGGTTAATAGGTGAGAGAGAGCAGCATTCTGTGGAAAAAGAAAGATGATAAAGAAACAAAAAATGGCTTCCATGAAAGTAGCGTTTTGGTGCTAAGACGCAAAATGGTTGTTGAGGCAAAAATAATCCAGGTGTATGTAGAAAATATGAGAAGGAAATAAATATCTATTCTGCCAGAAGATATATATATATAATAATAGTTGATAGGGAAAGGCTATGGGGCCGAGAGATAGAGAAAAATAAATCAATAGGCCAATGGGTTATGAGCTGGAGCGTGTAAATAGAAAATGTGACCAAAAATAGACAGACTAAAGATCAAATTAGAAAAAAAAGAAAAGAGCATCACCAGACGTAGTCGGCGGTGTCTGTAAGAAAGCGGTCCTGCCTGAAGGCTCCGCTGTGCCTCTTCAGGACAGAGAAGATCAAAGGTTAAGAGATGTGGAGCAAGATGGGTCATTGTTCTGTGGACTGTTGGAAGGTCAAAGGGAAGGTTTGGATTTCACTCATTGGCAAGAGGCTTTGGAAAAATGGTCCGGGAGAGTAAATAATAAACACATAGAAGGTGGCCTTCTGGAAAATTCTTCCAGTGGTCATTTGAAAAAGGGTCAGGGTGAGGTGTTAGGGGAGCCAAAAGGAACACGTGAATACTGTTAGGTTGTTGGGTAGTGGGATAGCGGATCTAGCTTTCAGGGAAATTAAATTCAGGGGGAAGGCTTTTAAGGTAAAGATATTTGAAAGGAAAACCAAAGGATGATGGGAAAAGGAAAGCGTCAAACGTAAGCTCGGGATAAAAAACAAGAGGTGCAAAGAACCTGGGTCAAATAATGTATTTTAGGCCACACAGGCAACCGCTGTTTATTATTTTAATGTAATTGAGAAGGCATACATGGACAAAGAAAATAACCGAATGTAATTTGTAAAGAGTTACAGGAATACACAGGAATGCCCTGGTATTGAAGCATGAGCCATATGAACTGTAAAGAGTTTAAAATGTCAGTACTATTTGCCCCAGGTGTGCAGGAGGAAGAGAAGGGAGTTGGATGAAGCATGGTTAGCGATGGAGTGATCTCCTGTGGCTACAGGCTGTTTTGTCAGCTGCCCCCCCCCCCCCACAGCGATCTGCCAATGATGCTTCATGAGAGGTGTTACAGGAACATGTGGTAACATATCCATTCATTTGTTATCATTTTGTACGTTTCTACTCTGATAACAATCAGTCTAAGATCAGTTGCATCTGTGCATATTTGACATACAGGGGTCTGTGCATGGGGCCGGTGGTGGTGGCTATTGACCATGCAGAAGGCAGGTGAGGGTGTGTTATGTGTGGGGAGGGGAGCAATATGCAGAGATGAGGGGTGGGGGGGGGGCTGGAAACAGAATAGAACTGCATTGACGACAGAGCCAAAGGACAAAGAGAAGATTGGACTTGCAGATAGAAAAGGCTGCTTGGGGGCTTGGAGCTGCTACGTGAAGGGTGACAGAAAAAGTGCTTCGGCATCGCGACCGAAGGCTCTCTGAGGGAAACGCTTCACCGAGACAAGCCCGTCTGCTCTCTCTACCATTAGAAATAACACGACCTAAAATCTGTGTAGGTCGATGGGACTTAATTGTGTGTGTGTGTGTGTGTGTGTGTGTGAGTGTGTCTGCCACATCCACAGGACGGAACGAGTCAGAGGACGTAAGTCTAGTGGACCTTCCAAGCCCTGCTGCACACGCATGTTTCTGTGTTTCATGTGTGTCTTCATGGGGGAAATGTTTATCTGATTGATTAACATCTTTAGTGCTTGTTGTCCCTGGATGTATAAATAAATATATATTACTGATGTACACGCTTAAAAATGACACTGTGGATTTACATGTGCATGGCTTTTGCATGTTTGTGTAAGTGAGCTTGTGTGTCCATCGTACACGGCGCAAACGAGCTGAGAAGGTCCCTCTTTTTCGTCCCCTCCTGTGGATACACCCCCCCCCCTCCCCGCCCCCAGCCTAACCCTTCACCCTAGTTGTTCCTGCTACACCCACCCACCCGCCAGTCCCACACCACCACACAACGCCACAACACCGACCAGCTCACCCCCACTTTCCACCAAAAGGAACAGAAACAAAACTAAAGAAACAACGACACTAAATTTGACACCACGTTGAGCGCTCAAATCCCTGGCCCCCGCCCTCCTGGACCCCCACCCCCCCACCGACACCCATAGGAGACTCGGGTAAGGATGGGCTCCTTTCTGACCTTGTAGGCCACCCGTGCTGGACACCTCTTCCCGAGGCCTAGTGGAGGACACATGTGCCTCAGCATGTCATACATTTCCCTGCAACTGATCCTGCCACTGCATCATCAGCCAGTGCCATCACCCCGTTAACCAAAGCACAAAAAAAAGGAGAGATGGAGATATTCAGATAGGGAGAGAATTGGGGAGGAGAGAGATTGATCAGAGGGTAGAGATGAAAAGAGAGAAGAATATCACATTGTTAGAGATTGAGGAGAGAAAAAGAGAGAAAAAGACCAAAAAAAAAGAGAGTAGAAGAACAAAAACAGAGAGACAAGGTTATTGGGCGGATTCGGGACTTCGGCCGCGTGGCTTCTCAATGAGCTTCAGCGCTATCCGACAGTTTGTCACGTCAAAAAGTAGAGAGGGAGATTTAAGGGTGAAATGTCCGCTAGTAGTATTATAAGACAATGAAGGCCCTGCGTGTGTGTGTGTGTGTGTGTGTGCACAGAAGAGAGGGGCAGAGCATGACAGCGAGCACCAAGCTGCTGCTCCTCGGACGAGAGGGGGGCGGGGTGGTAGGAGAGGGGGGGTTGTAAAGAGGAAGAAAAGGGTTCAATAGCAGTATCTGTCTTTTCTCCCAACCCCCCAAAAACCAAGAACAATGCAACACTACAGTGAGCAGCCGTAGCTTGCTTCATTATAGCCACAGCTCTCTAAGCAAAACAAAAGTAGAGTATCCGGGAGAAAAAGAAAAATATATATAAATCTGTATCATTTTAAAAAATAGTGGTCAAACTTTGGTAAAAAAAACAAAAAGAAGAGATTTTTCTCCCAGTTCACTTGGTGCATTTCACATGCCTCCCTGGGTGTCTGCATTGTCCCGCACATTCTCACAGCAGTTTAGAATGCAAGTCGATAATGGTGGAAAAGAAGTTTTTTCAATTGAAATGAAAAAGAAAAAAGAAAAGAAAAAAAAAGAAATAAAGCGGCATTCACTCCATTCCCGGATGCTGTGGCTAGCAAGTGTGTTTGAGAGGTTTTGTTTGAATGGAAGTCAAACCTTGCAGGCCACCCTATGGGGGCATTTCTTGCCTAAGCCGAGAGGCGGGTCGATAACTCGTAATAAACTGTACATGTCCTTATAATGAATGCGCCCGCTGCAAGAAGAATACAGGGGAATTAAGAAACACACACATACACACAGGGAAAAACACACACACACACGTCCAGAAAGAAGAGAGAACATTGGGAGGTAGAGCACAAGATTGACAAGTACACAGTATATGAAAATACTTTGCAACATGTTCACGGTAAATAGCAGACTCTGTAGACACATCTGCACCTTAATGAACCTACACAAACTCTACGTACTTTACTGCTACTTTATTAAACGTGGTCCTGAGCAGCGCCAGTAAGCTCCCCAAAATCTCTCCCTTTATTGTTCTTTCTCGTACTCTTTGTCATTGGTTTGGCAGGCCTTTCCTTACATCCTCTTACATCCTGACTGGATGTGTGCACAATGTAATTAAGGACTTGCAGGCCGAGTAGAAAAGCATGTGCTTGGGAAACAGCTAAATGCTTAATAACCGCTTGTGATATGCAGCTCCCCTCCCTCTTAATTAAATATGTGTTTAATGTCAAGTGTTTCCCTGTGCAGTGGTCTCCATTTCATTGCTGGGTTGGGTTGAAAAGGACATGTTAGATTTCGAGCTAGGGAACAGTTTCTTGTTGTTGGGGAAACACACATACTATTTTATTTATTTTCTAAATAACCATATTCATATCTGAGTAGTGAAAACCATGTAGTTTAACAATTACAATATGCGATTAAATAGTTAAGCCTCTCCTTAATTCTTTCAGATAACTGTTTTCTCATTTTAATCTTTTATCCATCTCTCCTGTCTGACTGATGCAGCCTTACAGTCTCTTCTGTCCTCTTTTCCCTCTAACTCTCCCTCTTCACAACGGTCTAAGTGCAGTCTACAGGTCAGCATGAGGGGAACACACAGGCACTGGAATACAGATACCAAGAAACAGCCTTTCCACCTGAGACATTTACACTACAGAGTAACTTTTCTTTTACCACATTAAGTTGTTTTTAAACAGTATGCAGATTCCAGAGGAGTGAAAAGGTTTGGGAAGGAGTAAGGGGCATTTCAGGGCACTTTACAGAGAGGAGGAGGAGGGGGGGGGGGGAGGGTAAGAGAGATAACCAGATGCACGGTGAGGTTCTGCTCGGATCCGTTTACAGCCCCCTTGCAGCTCTTTCACTAGAGAGTCCTGTTCTTTTTTATGAGTTAACGCCGGTGCTTTGTTGCTCTCTTGTCTTAAATAACATGCGCTGATGTTTTACACAAAAACGCAACAGTCATTTACAGCATCGCTGAGCAGTTACAGGTTTAATTGCTTGCGCCTTAGTAATATTAAAACATATTAAAACAAGCAAAAGCAATAGAAAGTTACAGAAGTAATGTCTTGTGGTTTCATGTGGACGTTGCAAACCCAATAATTCATAAAGGGTGCATCAAGGGGTAAGACCTGCCTAATTACTGTTGGGTGTAGATGAGTGTGTGTCTGTGTGTGTGTGTGTGTGCATGAGCACCATGCGTGCGTGCACATGATCACTCACCAGGCAGCAGGATCATACTCGGCCCATATCCTGACATACTCATCCAGGTGGTGAGGTCCCAGTATGGAAGAATCTCTGGTTAGGTACTCAAAGTTATCCATGATGACGGCTACAAACAGGTTCAGCATCTTCACATGAAAACACAACATCAGAAAGGGTCAACATCTGAAACTGACTCCACGGAATCCTCCCAAGAATGAATGGTAAACAACGAGTCTTGTTTTCTTCAGAAACAAGTCGCACCAATTAGTGAATTACTGACTTCCGTCACTAAGAGCGGGAGAACAACTCGTAACACCTTGCCGGATAAAGTGGCACTGGCATAACGAGGTGTTCCCATTTTACAGCCTAGATCTTTCTGTGGAATCTGATCCATGGGCGTCTACTCCAGAATTGATATTTTTTTATGCTTTTTAAAAAGTTACTGGATCATAAAATAGGGACAGGGTGCAGCCATGGGTGTTGCATTATGCAATATATACTCACCAAAAAAGAGCAGAAGAAGATAAAGGAGACAAAGTAGAGGTAGGCAAACTGGCTCCCACACTCTGGCTCGTTATTCCCCGACAGAGGGTCACACCCTTTGCTCCCCAGACACGAAAGCATTATCTCGTGCCACGACTCTCCCGTTGCACTCCTGCAACACGCACAAAATTACTTGATTTGTCACACGTTTGGAGTATTAAGTCTGCCAGGTGTCGGATGTTTATTCAAGAATCACATAATTTGTTTAAAATATAATGAGTTTCAAACGAAGCAAATAAACACTGTGTATAGATTCACACACACACACACACACACACACACACACACACACACACACACACACACACACACACACACACACAAAGTACCTGAAGAGCAGCATGAGAGCCATTACGAAGGTCCTGAAGTTGTTGTGCTGGTTGATGGCGCTCTCTCCATCTTCTTCAATAGCGATATTCCCAAACAGCTGTTGTATGCAATCACACCACTGAGAAACCACACTATACCTGTTTATTTACTATAAATTTAGTTTACCTGTAAATTGCCACTTCTCATTATGAACCAAATCCTTACGACCATTATCACCATTATCGTTCTCCTTCTGCGCGTCTTCCGCGGCGCCATTATCCCAAACAAATATAGTATCTAATGTATCCTGAAAGCACTAGAGCCATTTTTAGGTTGAGGCGTTCACCCACCTGCATGCCAATGATGGCGTAAATGAAGAACAGCATGGCGATGAGGAGGCAGACATAAGGCAGCGCCTGAGGAGAGACGGATTCATTGTTTAGTATTAAGTTTGACACATGTGAGCGCACTGTGCACAGTACACAGAACTGCACCCCGGCGGTATATGCGCAATATGGGATATGGGAATTTCTTTCAAATGTATAAATGTGAAAGTGTTGTATAATTGGGTGGGAACCTTGAAGGACTGTACGAAGGTCCAGAGCAAGATACGGATGGTTTCTCCCTGCCTCAGCAGCTTGATGAGACGAGCTGCCCTGAACAGCCTCAGGAAACTTAGGTTGATGAAATTATTCTACATTACCGCCACGACAGGACCACAGAGAAAGAGCGGCACAGAGAGGAGGGGTGAGTAGAGAAGTGAGATAGTTGAAGATAGGAAAGTAATGAAAAGATTGCAATGGAGAAAGGCAAAAAAAAGATTTGGGGAGGGTTTGGGGTTGGAATAAAAGGGAAAGAGTAGTTAGTTGTAATGCACAGAGGGCAAACTGTTTGTTTGTAAAAACCAACAACCAAAAGAAATTCGGAAAGAGCAAGTCAAACCCAAACTGAGGGAGATTCAAACTCAAAAAAAAAACGAATCAGGAGCCAAACAAGTCAAAGCAAACCAAACTCAAATCAGCAAGGCTCCAACAAGCTTTTCATATCCATTGAGTTAGACGAAACCAAACCAAACAACACAGGGGAAGGGAAATCATCCAAATCTAACTAGTTTCATCCAATTGGGTTACATAGTAATAATTGTGGTAGGAATGGTGATTAGTTAAGAGTGCAGGGGCGTCGGAACATTTCCTCGGAAAGACAACCAAATGCACTAATTCTCTCAAGGCAAAAATATGCAATATTTTAACATGAAGCAAGCCCACAGCATGCAGACATTCTGATGTGATGTGACGAATAAGAGGCATCAATGAGGTAATTCTATTTTAAGTGGTTTCCTACAAGAGATTATCAGTCTTACCAGTTATGTGCCTTACAAACCATGATTTCATGTTGCAATTAAACTTGATATTGAATACAAAGCGTATTCTTTTTATTACTAAACGCACTAAATGACCATCAATTTATGCGGAGTTCTCCAACCATTTTTCACAGTTAAGAACACATGACGTGAGGTTGAGTTGAGCTCAATAGAGATGTGGAGTGTTCAAAAGGGACGGGCAGCAGACACATGCAGGGTCCATCTACGATACAGCGCGGATTATACGATTGCGAGTGTGTTTCGTGTGCTGTGACAATAAAAGGTTCCTTCCAGAGACATGCAAAGGGCGGCATGCTCCACTTGTTTTCTCCGCCACGGGCCAAGCGTTGAGCCAACGGGAAACACTCTCCCAGTCACTGTCATATGTGTGCGCGCGTACGTGTGTGTGTGTGTGTGTGTGTGTGTGTGTGTGTGTAAGCACATACAATTAATGGACCATCTCGATGGATACATGTAGCAATCAGTTCCAGCTAATACAATCCGATCCTACATACTGAACAGTAGTTCTCAGTAAAAAAACGGTATAAAATGTAATAATTGACACAGTGACAGGTAGAGGGGTTACAAAAGAATATTCTGAGATTCAAAGCTCACTGGGAGTTGGGGGTCAAGTGAAACATGCACATTTCACAGCTACAACATTGGCTGGGATGCAGTTAAAACAGATGCAGGAAAATAAGATCTCCAAAAAATTACAAACCATCTACATGTGGATGTTGCAGACATATGGTTTATAGCAGCAAATTTTTGGATTTTTGGTTGGTTCGAAGAACAACCACAGAGATTGACCAAGCCGGTTGTCATGGGTGGACACAGAGGATTCATAGTGCATTTTGATTGGATGGGATCGCAGGAAGTAGTAGGTGTTGGGGGAGAAGGGGGTGGGGCGAAGTAGTTTACAGTAGATCGTCGTTAAGTTTGTGGGCGATTTAAAGAAAGCATGTAAAAAGATAAAAAACAAGAAAAAAATCAACAGTCATTACAGACACAAGTTAACACAGAAGCATTGTTTTTGTCTCATCTTTATACATTTATGAATTAGTTCTATAACGTACCAGAATAAGTCTCAATTGCTTTTTTCAAGTTGAAATATTTTACACTTTAGATTTATATTTGCAGGACTGAAGTATAACGTGACCACTGCATCCTTACTTTTTAATCAATGGTGCCATATCTAAACATCGCCTCATGTCTCAGTTACCCTCATACATCTAACAAAGCCATATAATGTGGTTGAATAATGTGTAGATGTGTTAAACTCAAACTACCCAGCCATCATGGCATCGCTGACTCAAAGCAATTTATCATGTACTTTTAGCTGTTCAGGTATGACCTGAGATCGGCTATTGGTTTGCTAGCAGAGGCTGTGCGCTGACTCGCTACAGAGCAGCAGCGCGCTTCCTGCCTCGATGCCTAAGCTGGAGTCTGGTCTCTTCTCATCCCACCAGCTGGGACAATTATATAAGACTTTCAAGAGGTGCTCATCCATGACTGAGCAATGCACGAGTCATCTGTGGCCTCTAACTCATGCTCCTCTCTAACTTCTTGTTTTGCCTACTGTATGTGCTGTGGACAGTGGGACAGATTCATTGACATATGCTGAAGCTCACCTTCATTTCTAATACAATATCATGTATGTCGGTTTACAGTTTTAACCCCTCAGTACAGATCTCGCACATCTACACAGTAAAGGTATCAGATAATACTACTACATTATTTTCTTAGTCAAGTCAAATTCCTCTATGTGTAACATTTGGGGCAATAAATGGCGTCTGGTTCTGATTCTGACTTACCCCGAGCTCTGTGACCAGGATGTCAGTAATACTGCCCAGAACTGTCACACAGTCAAAAATATTCCAGGCATCTTTGAAATAATTCTGTGAAAGAGACAGAAGAAGAGAGGAAAGAGGGGTGATTTGGAAGAAATAGGAAAGGTGAAAGGGGGTGAGCCGAAACCGGGGCAGATAATTGATGGCGAAGGAAAAATTACAGAGAAATGGGCAATCCTTCCCGTTTCAAAAACATTCACAAAAACAGGTTCACCCCCCCCATCCATCCAGAGATATATCCATCATGATGGATTTTAAAATGTGAAGGGATTCAGAGAGAACAAGTGAGGTCTGCTTCTGAAACTCTAATGAATGTTGCCTGCAGCCAAACTGTGCATTAGACACAAGTGGAGGGACGGGGAGAAGGCGGCTGTTAAAGTAAACCACCTTGACGTTTCTTAGGCCCCGCCCTTTTTGTGTGTGCGTCATCCTAACCTGCTTAACCTCGACCCTCTCTCGTCAACTTTGCTTTTTGCTCATTTACTCCCGTTGCTCTAGTTACTACACGACACTTCCCCCTCCGCCCTGTTTCTTCTCTCAGTATTCATCCTAATGGTATCTTCCCTCTCCATTTCATCCTCGCCCCCCTCCCTCCCTTTCCTCTGCAGCTCGGATGGCTGCACACTTTACTGCTGACTTTGGGCAGTTTGCTATTTCATTGCATATTTGCTTTTTTTGGGGCCTTTTAAAAGCTCATTATTTCCACACAGTTTCTCCTTACAAATGTAATAAATAAAGCTTGACAGAAAATGTTTGCCAATTTCATTAAATAATGGATGGGGCTGCCTCCGCAACAAGAAACACAGCGTCATTCAATTTGCCGGGTCTATTATTTTCCCTACATCAAAGTTTTCTTTAAGAACTGTTTTTTTGGTGAGTAGGCATGCAGGCATTTCTCCCAAAAAAACCCCAGCTTGGTCTCGTTTTAAGTACTTTCTCCCAAGATTATTAATTACTCAAGAAGAGATGCAGAGAACAATTTATATTAGTGAGACCGTGTAATAACAGATTTTCAGCACTCATATACAGTAGAGCAGTACAGTACCAGTCAAACGCTTGGACACTTTTTTCTCATTCAATGTAATGAGAAAGTGAGTCCAAACCTGTGACAGGTGCTGTACATCCTCAGCCACACGCATCCACTCACCAGCACTCCAAAGGCAATGATCTTGAGTACACACTCCATGGAGAAGAGGGAGGTAAACACGATGTTCAGGTTGGCTAAAACAGCTTCATAGGTTTCAGAAGCTCCGTCGTACTACAAACACACACACACACACACACACACACACACACACACACACACACACACATAGCCAGGGACAGAAAGGAGGTGGAGGAGAGTCACACATATTCATTAAAATGATTTTCTTAATCACAGGAAATAGTGTCTACAGCAACATGTGAGTTAATTCAATCTAATGAGTGTTTATGTGTCGTAACTAAGGTGTAAAAAGAGAAAGAGAGAGACGTTGACTTCAGAGAGTCAGTGGTAGTTAATGTTATTTTGTTGTGCATCTCATGCGTGCGTATTTGCTTTCTCGTCTCTAATATCCACAACATTCACCTTCATCATCAGCACGATCGTGTTGAGCGCGATCATCGCCATGATTGTATACTCAAATGGCGGCGAAACCACAAACTCCCACATTCGGTATTGAAAGCTCAGCTTGTTCTGAGGCATGTGGCGGGTCAGAGGTCTGGCGTTAATGGCAAAGTCTATACAGGCTCTCTGCGGAACACAAACAAAAAGGTTACTGGGCTTTTCCCCCCAACACAGTCCTCCCTCCTTCCTGGGTCACATCCCCAATACTCTGATCTGGTCTTTCACTCTCAGCCCTTCCTCACCTCGTTCTTTTCTAGGCTGTAGTCCTCCATCATCTTGTCTCCTTGCTCTTGGAAGGTGATGATGATGAGAGCCACGAAGATGTTGACGAAGAAGAAGGGGAAGACCACGAAGTACACCACGTAAAAGATGGACATTTCCATCCGGTACCCCGGGCTCGGGCCCTGGTTCTCATAAGTCGCATCCACTGAATGCTTCAGTACCCTGCAGGGGAAGGAGAAGGGAGCGGCGCACGGGTTACAAATTGGGAAGCACGAGTGCTGCATGAGTGCTGCGCGTGTGTCTGCGCGTGTTCCGGGATGCTTACTGCGGCCACCCCTCTCCGGTCGAAACGGTGAAGAGGGTGAGGAGGGCCCAAGCCACGTTGTCGTAGTGGAAATCGTACTTCTTCCACTCCCGCTTCTGCGCCTTCACTTCGTTATCACGTTCAAAAACCAGATATTCGCCTCTGAGACGCACAAATCACATCATCAGCATGAAGTGTTGTCTTGAAGTGTTCAGGAGCCCATTATGCACAACATGGCTCAACTTGATGTACATTGTCTGTAGGACAAACATAGCCGGGAAGCGCATATCCTCACCTGCAATCGCGCTCCAATTCTTTGGATTCATCGGTGCAGTAAAAGAAGCGTCCCTTGAAAAGCTGCACAGCCACCACAGCAAAGATGAACATGAAGAGTAAGTAGACTATCAGGATGTTGAGCACATTCTTCAGAGAGTTCACCACGCAGTCAAACACAGCCTGAGGAGCACAGAAGGAGACATGCTGGTTATGTTATGAATGACATGCGTTGGATTGGTCTTGCTCTTACATTTTGGCATTAGATGCAAAGGTTAAGTTGGTACATTATGGCCCAATTTGCGCTGCAGCAGATTGAGCTACTTGAACATGCCTAAGACAAACTATTGATATTACTTTCATTGCGGATCAATGTATACCACGTATATTTGTTATCCGAGGTCAAATATTTTCTATGTAAGCGTACCTTGAGTTTAGGAAGACGTTTAATGGTCTTCAGAGGTCGCAACACTCTCAGTACCCTCAGAGACTTGATAGTGCTGATGTCTTTTCCTTTACTGCTACCCCTATATGTTCAGACACATTCACACCAACATACAGGAACAGGACCCCCCCCCCCATCACACACACACACACGCACACAAACAAAAACAAGAGTCAGCAGGTTTCAGGCGGATATCACAGGCTCAGTCCTCTCAATTCCAAAATGGCAGTGGGCAGCTAGTCCTTGATGGCGTTTGAGTCCAAGTTAACTCCACACGAGTAACTTTGTCTGGGTTAAATACATAGCAACACATGCAGCATTGCTATCATATTACGATTAATTCTAAGTGTGAGGTTAGCGTTGTAGCTACATGCTGGAGTCCGGTGGTCATTTACAGCTACAGTACATGCTGTGGTAACAACTGGTTCTCATTCCTGTCCGAATGCTAACTGATAGCTACTTCTGCTTAACACTTTGCAATGTATTTCAATGCATTACAAAGACGGCTAAAGCCTCGCCTTGCACATGCCCAGCTAATGGTGAAATATATTCATGCTGCATTGAAACCTTGCTTTCCATGCTGCAATATTTCCTCTCTTTAAGCAGCAAGTTGAGTGACGGTGAACTCTATTACACACAGAGACATTTTTAGAGAGAGTTTGAGAGCCATGTTAGCAGCTAAATTAACGGGAGCGCTGTTAAAGTGGTAACTTATAGTAAAAATGTTCTCCTGTTAACATAATAAACACCTCACAAATGCTCCCTAGTGTGTATTTAAATACAATTAAATGCATTATTTCTTTGAACTATAAACAGAAGTCACTTCCAAGTCGGAAGAGTCAAAGGGTTAAAAAACGCTATGAGTATCCAAACTCTCTCTTTTGATGGCTCAACCAGTTAATTTCTGTTCACTTTAAACTACTCCTATGATAAGCAGGTCTCGCAGCATTGTTCAAACAGCATGGAATCTTGTCTTGTAGGCCATCTTGGCAAAGACAAAGATATTTTAGCAGGCATTTCTTAATGGAAATGCTGAGCCAAACCTTTTCTTGTTAAGCACGTTCTAACTTTTTTAAGTACACGTGTTAAGAAAATTGAAAAACCTCGCACTGAACACCTTTTAAAAAGCAAAAAAAGAAATGTAAGTAATATAAGTGAGTCTGCCAGTTCAGTCTCAAGGCATTTAAGTACAAGTAAAAATCCAGATGTTAACAAATGACTTGAATGTAAGCAGATAAATGACAACATGTTTGTAATTAAGCTGACTACCATCAATCAATGGCAACGTTTTTACACTTCTCCCTGATTCTTCTAAATTTCTCACACATGAGGGGGAAAAGATTAAGGTCAAAAGTCCCTGACAGTTGTCCTTAGGGAAGAAAGCACATGTGTCTACAGCTGCTTTCTTCTTACAGCTGTTATACCAGATGGTAGACTGCTGGTGGTTGTGTTGAGACGTGCGTGGGTGTGAGCTTTAAATGCTCGTGTATGGTTGTGTGTACGTAAACCCTTTCTGGCTCCTGTCATGTTTTTCTGGTCGATTCTTTGTTCCAGTTAGCTGTGTCCGTTTGCATTGGTCACATTTTCACCTGTGTTTGGTTCCTTTGCTTTTATTCGACTAATGATATTTTTCAAATGGCGTCTGTGTGACTGGGCTGAGGACCTGAGGCGGACTATCTTGAGGTTCAGTGGTGTTTGAGTCAGAGCTGTTCCATGGTGAACAATGGACAAAGGGGAAGAACACACCAGTACTGAAGTCAACTGTGATTGATGAAAAGGAAAGAGATGTGTGATCAGAAGATCAGGCGCTGAGAGTGCAGAGGGAGAAAATGAGGAGGGAAAAGACAGAGAACTTTACCCGCCGCCGCTGCTGCTGGTCCAAACGGAGAGATGAGGGGTGAGAGACAGTGAGACGAATAGATAGAGAGAGAGAGAGAGACAAAAATACAAAGGGTGGGAGAAAAGAACAGAATAGGACACAGAGGAAGGAGGGATTTCGAGGGAAAACATCCACATGACAGACAGATAGAGAAAAAGAGAACACAGGGCCTTCTTTTTTACATCAACCCTGCCAGCAATAAACTATCAAACCTAAAACACATGGGCATGATGGGCACATTGAAAATACTGCACCAAAGCACTGCCTTCATCTCTGATGTCAGAGAATGATGTCAGTGATTAGTTTACAGGCCAGTCGCTGCGTCACAGAGTGATCATTACCAGTACATTATTATTCCACAGGAAAATACGACTACGTTCCTCTTCCTTTTGATTGCATTAATACTGTTTATTTAAATTCTACCAAAATGTTTTATTTCATTGGTATTTATTTTAATTTAATTTAATTCAAATCCATGGATGTGCTGATAGTTGAAAGCTCACGAGTAATACTCGTGTCAGAGCTTAAATCCATATTATTGAGGACCGCTAGAAATGCATCAACTCATTTAAAAGCACGTTCCGTCTAGAACAAACACTGACATTGCAAAATGTCGAGGTATCCCGAAAACCAAACGCGGTCGGTCACCAGGCATGTGTCTCCGCGTGGGGCGATGCTCTGGACATCGAGCTCCGTCTCACTTCAGAAATGTGCAGGACAGCAGCACAAGCGGTGCAAAACACAAGCAGCCCTCAGACCAGACTAATTGGATTAAAGGAGCGATAATCATCTCCATTGAGACTGCTGAGCTTTTCTGGAGTGCTGTTTGATTTCCACCAATTGAATTAAGGCACTATCTGGATGTGTGTGAGTCTGTTCTGACTGGTTCAGATCTCCCCAACAGCCATCAGTGTCGCAAAACCCCATCCTAGTTAAATCAGACTTCATTGGCTCAACTGGCTTAATTGATTGTTTTTACGAGTTTGTCTTTATGGTAATCGTTTAAATTATTTCATATTTCGCAGCCTTGCCACTATCATTACAATTTTCTTCCTCTCGTAGTCATTCATTACTCATATGTGCTTCCTGGTCCATTATTCATGACATAATCTCTTTACGTATAGGTTTCGCTGATATGCTTTTTTTGCTGTTGGGCCATTAATACTGTTCTTTTTTTGTTGATTCGAAAATTGCATCACTGCATACAAATATTTATCAGATCATATCTAACATTTCCCTAAAAAGCATAGACTTCATCAGAGAGAGAGAGAGAGAGAGAGAGGAAATATAGACCCACACATAAATATTTACCAGACAGAGGTTAGACAACACAAACTTGACAAAAGCACATCGATAAATATATACAAAAAACAGAAACACTTACACAACTATAAATTAGGGGAAAGAGAGTTAACAAACACACAAAAGTGATTCGGAGAGAAGGACTGGATCAAGAGCCGGTCTTACGGAGCACCGCCATTACAACCCTACAGCCAAGTTCCGCGACCCCCAGTTTGGGAACCACTGCATTAGCGCCACCGCCTTTAGTCTCGACTTTGAATAAATAAGCAACTTGTCTCGAATAGTATTATTTACCCTCTTAAACTAACGTTAGCCGAAGAGTTAGCTAGCTTTGTTATACCATTTCATAAATTAAACAGACGTATTTTATTCCACTACGTAGGTCATATGGAGGTGTCATTATTACATTGAGACCGTTTCATGACCAGTCGAAAACGCCTTAGCATAACTTTATCATTTACTGTTTTCAGTGACGGGTCACTTACTTGCACATCGAACATGTGGCAGCATCAATGCGACAGGCAAAGCTTATCGCTTCTCCTTTTCTCCATTCAGAAAGAAAAACAATATCCAAAGGCCCGTGTATCTCTGCTTCTTGTGTAATATCATAACCCCAACCCTTCTCCTACAGAGATGAGGGTCACAAAAAGTAAACATTCTGTAGGGCATCTAAGCAGAGCCATTCTTTCCTGTAAATATAGATTGGATAATCAGTCATGAAATAGGAGGAAGCACAACCTTGTATTTCTGCATGTAACCATGGGAGTATTTTTTTTGGGGGGGGGGATTAGCATTATCATTGTCAATTTATCATACTGAGTTCCTTCAAACTACACAAATATCACATAACATGTTCTGTTAACTGCACTCCTAAAGGTCTGCTCCCCTTCGTATTCTCCACACGCATGCAAAAGCATGACATCCAATCACAAAACCCACAATTCATGTTTTGAAACCCAGCATTGTGCTCATACACTAAGCCCCAACGTAGCCCACTTGTGCAAAACGAACCGTATTTTATCCTCGCGCTCATGCAGATTAAGTAGGGTGTAAAGTACCTGCTTGGCCATGAGGAAAGGTGCGCAGATTTTTGAGAGCCAGCTCAGCATGACATGGCCAGGCTTCGCTTAGGGCTTTTTAACTCTAGAACTCCCTGGCCACTAAAGGGTTACAGGTGCAAAGGGTGGTCCTCACCTCTCACAGGGGTAGAAGAGGTGGATCGGAAGGGGATGCTGGGATAGTGCTCTTTAACATGTTGGGGGCGTATGGGGGTTTGGTGGAGGGGCTTAGAAATGGTAGGATTGTAGAGTTGAATGAGAGATTAAAACGCAGAATAAAAATAGCCAACTATAGAGGATTGGCTATTTGTAAGCGTAGTTAGGAAAGTAGAGGAGGGGACAGCAAAGAAAATAGAAATACTAAGCGAAAGAGGGAAAATGTGCCAGAGAGTATGAAAGAGAACAGAAATCATGGATGAATAAAGAAAAACAGGTTGAGGCTGTGATCGGAGTAGAGAGGCAGGAGGGAAAGTGGAGCAAGGAGGGGAGAGAGGAGGGCAGCAGGAGGGAGACTTACGTGAAGGCGAAGGCCACCAGAGCACCACTAACCACTATAAAGTCAAGGATGTTCCACAAGTCCCGGAAGTAAGAGCCCTGGTGCAAGACGAGCCCCAGATCCACCATCTGAAGGAGCAGAAGACATTATGAGACGTGGACACCTGGGGATGGATCTGTGTTCAATCCGCATTCGGGCGAGGCGTCTCCGGAGGAAGTTGTTCTGTTGTTGATTCTGCACACCGCCTTACCTTTATCAGCATCTCAAACGTGAACACTCCAGTGAAGACATAGTCAAAATAACGCAGAACCTGCACGGAAAGAAAGAGGGAACGATTTGCTGCTGCAAATATTGACAGGATGCAACCTGCATGGATCCTAATTGTCTTCACTTCATTCATTATATTTTAGTTTTATGTGGCACTTTATTTATTAGTTGTTTCGTGGAAACGTGTGTGCACGAAAATCATGGGTTCATAAATGTGTGTTGGCTGTCTCACGTTGTTGCGAGGGGATTCGGGCCACACAGGGTCTTCAGCTGCCAGGGCGATACTGCTCATGGCGATGACCAGCAGGATACACATCTCAAAATATCGCAGGGTGCAGATGTAGTGACACGCCCTCCGAAACCTAGAAGAGGACAAAGACAGATTAATTTTTCTCGCTCCAGATCATTGCATCTCAGTCAGTCTAATATGTTTGCTTTTAAACTGTAAGAGTACTATAAATAGACAATATATGCACGTGTTAGGGTCTGTGCACATGCACGTGTTGCAGCTCGGACTCAATAGTAGATTGATTTCCCATCCACAAAAGACGAATGTGGGGTCAATACCTAAAAGATACATCCCTTTGTGTCAAGCTACGCTGATTCATACAGTGTAGGTGAATGTGGGTGCATGTTATTTGAGAACAATCCAGTTTACGGGTTGGTGGTGGAGAGGATGAACATGGAGCTGAAGGGAGGCATTGGCTTGCGTCCGCCTTCGCCCCCCTTCTCATCATCATCGTCGTCCTTATCCTCCTTTGCTGGCAGCGGCTCTGTGTTAGCGTTCTTATTAACTGGATCAAAGAGGGCGAGAGGAAAGCAGCTTGTTATTTAAGAAAATTGTTAAAGAGAAGATAAAAAGATAACAAAAAATACATATACAATACTCATTCGGCACTTACCCTGCAGTATGGCGTTGGTGGAAGGAAAAATCGGCATGTCTAAAGCCGTGTAGTCAGGGTGGGGCAGCCTGAGGACGCTGTTGGTACGGTGATGGGCGATGCTCCCGTAGCTATCCAACGTGACCAAACTGCCATGAGCGCTGCTGTTAGCGAGATGGAGGGCAGACCCGAAGCCCGGGGCCACGATGCGGTTGGCCACTGGATTGGGGTGGCCATCGCCGGGTGGGGTGGAGCCAGAGACCAGTTTGGTATTCATGAGGTTGTCCATATCCTCACTGTACTGGCTGTCCTGCCTGGAGAGGCTTTTTTGAATGGGCCGTGTGGTAGAGAGGTTAGGGACACTGCATTCCCTAGAAATAGGAACAATTGGCAATGGTAAAAAGGAGAAAGGAGAAAAAAGACGGGAATGGTGGAGATTATGTTCAGAGAAAGGTGCAGAGACACAGAAATCATTGAAAGGAGAAACAACCAGAGGCCATAAGAGAACAGAGGAATGTGTGAATATCCTAACATGTCATTGTCACAGCTATCGGCGGACATGTGTAAAGGACGTACTTCCTTCTGTGCTGGCACATCCTTTTCCCCTCGCCGTCAGCTTGGTTTCCATGGCGATTCCTTCTTGGCCTCCTCTCACTGCCATCCCCAGCCCCCTCCTGCTCTCCTCCTTCCCCGCCTCCGTCAACGCCTTTGTTCCTGTGCCTCCCCGTTTTCCCGGCTCGTCCCTCGCCATCCACACCGTCCTCGGCCCCTTTGCGATGTGACCTGGGCTTCCGGTGTTCAGACTGCCCGCCCCCTCGACTGCCACTGCGGGTGTGGTGATGCCGCCTGGAAGGTCTCTCCTCCGAGCCCGGCCCGGGAATCACCGTGGCATCCAATCGGACGTGGGAGCCGTGGTGGTGGTGCTCGCCTTTACGGCTCCGCCTACTCTCGGTGGATTCGCCCCGATCCAAGGGAGGCCTGACCGCGGCCGAGCCTCCCCCGCCACCACCTCCTACTGGGCCGCCGCTCTGTTCGTGTAGGCGGGTCTGCCTGTGGAGCTCATCGGCAGGATGGTGCTGGCTGAAGCACAGGTCGGAATTGTTTGCGGTGGTCTTGTTGGTGTTGTTGTTGCGGTTCTCAAGAGGGTCAACCACCAGAGGTCGATCGAGGTGGGTCTTCATGTCTGGACGCGTGTTACGAGAGTGGTTCACCTGCGATGACAGCAAAGGATAGTGAGGCAGCATCGCACGGTTGAATGTGAGGTTTTAATGCACACTTGTTTCAATTTTTTAACTTTTAACACATAGTGACAGTGACATACATACTACCACTAGCTCATTGACATGTTAACAGAAGTTATCATCATCATGGTTCCCGTCCACTTGTGTACACTGATAGCACAAGTCTAGGGGGCTTTGTTGGCCTTGTCCTTTACATTGTTTTGCTCCTCCCTCCCCGTCCTTGCCTTCCAACGCTCGTCGGGGTCCAGCTCGTTATAGAGGGCCTCGCGGCTAGACACTATCGTCTGCCTCCTCAGCTCCTTGGTGCGTTGTTCCCACACTGACTTGTTGATCCCCTTGTTGTTTTTCTGCTGCTCCTTGCTGCGAAATGAAGTAGGGTGGAAATGATCGACAGGATTAAAGACCATGTACATTAAACATTAAATGTACATTGAAAGACGTGAGAATGATGCGAAAACTAACACCAAAACATAAGTACACAAAATAGCCAGGAGATAAAAACGCACTGGGGGGCACAGACATTCATCAGGTCATTTGGATAAACCTAAGGAACGAGCACCGGGCAGCCCTACTTTGGTAAACTATGTTTTGGACACAAAATAGAGGGAAGATAACACTGAGGCGAGGTCAGAATAGGTTGTAATAATCTACAGTTCACCTACACAAACTAAACAAAGTTGGTTTAATCAACAGTCTTTATGCACCCCGAAATCCCCACCGAGCTGAATCGAATCGATGACAAAGTCGCAATGATCACAGGAACCCGTTGTTGGTTTTTTCGTATCTTCTGGTCGTAACGCGACCACCTTCCTCACCCTCCGAAACTCCTGCCAGTAAATAACTCCCTTTTCCTCCAAGGCCCAAAGTCAACCACAGCAAAGTAACAGCCGTACTGAGGGGGGGGGGCAAATGAAAACGTACTCTTAATAATAAGCCAACACAAATAACAACTAACAAAAAGCCAGGTATGTAGTTCATAAAAACGTTGGGGACAAAAGGGTAAAGGGTAAAGAACGCTTTTATAAAAACAATAAAGAAAGCAGGGAATGGTTTTAAAGTCAATCAACAGAAAGGATTCATAAATGAATAAACAAATAAATAAATACCAGTCCAGAAAGGGGTCGGTAGCGTTGTGACACTCACTGTGCACTTTGTTGCTGAGGAGGGAAACAGCTGGTGAGTGAGATGACACCAAAGAACAGGAGGATTTCATTCCAAAATGGGCTTTCCGTCTATCATTTATCAAACAATGGGCTTTAAAATGAATTAAGGGTTAAGCTAAAATAATATATTTCTGAATTACCAAAACAAAACAAATCGATTCCTTGACAAAAAACTGAGCATTTTGGAATGTAACCCTTCACATAGAAACATACACAGGCAAAACACGCGCACACACACACATTCTCACACTCACACACACACACACACACGCACGCACATGACAACATCCTGCATGACAACTGCTGTTCTGTCCACATCATTCTTTGCTTCTTTAAACATATCTTTCTCCAGTCCTACCGTTGTCTCTGATGTCCCTATTTGTCTGCAAAGCGTCTTTATTATTCAAATATATATACATTTTTTTCCAGTTCATTTTACAACGATTTGTCTTCATGATACTGCAGTGAGAAAATGAAATGTACTCGGTGTTAATGATAAAGCCTGTGGAGGGTTAAAGTTAACTAACGAGAACCTGCTTTTTACGTTGCAGACCTTCTGACGCCAAACGGTAAAGAGGTTAAAACTATTTGTCACTGAGGTCTGTTTAGACCGTATGGGGGTTTTAACGACGCACTGTGGTGTCATCCTGAGTACTTGTTGGAGTTATGTAGCCTTACAACTGTTTGCCATGGCAGTCTTGTCCTGCTTCTACCATAGAATATCTTAAGAGGATTGTTCATGCTCCAGTAACGTTCAAAATCCCTGCTGGAAAGAAACAAGGACTTCCTCCACTGGAATTTCAATGTCTTTCCTTTTTGTGTATCTTATGAGCGAGGGATTGGATTCACACCGATACGGGGAAATGGAACGTCCTTTGCATTGCCAGGACTGCGATACGTATTTAAAGATTCCACTATAAACTCTATTCTAGCATCTTTGGTTTTATAGAATACAAATATTTAAACAACTGCAGAAAGCTGCAGGACACTGGTTCAGTGTGCACACACACACACACACACAACCTTTCTCACTCTTACACACGGACCCACAGTTACGCACACACACATACGCATGCGCATTGTATTGACAGATAAATATTTAACCTCGGTAGGACTCCCAGGTAAAGTTAGCAGTTACACAGACACAAATGCTCACAGTGAAGTAGAGGACATACAGTCACAACACACAGTGCGAACGCGCAACGATGAAGGCATTTTAATTCCGTGTATGTACACTTTGACACGTCTGCGCATTGCATCCGTGTGTGATAATGTGAGTACGACAGCGGGAATCAAAGCAGTAAAGGTCACAACTGTGCGCACGTGTTGTGTGTGTGTGATGTTTCTGAGCAGACGTGGGCTCCCCTGTTGTGCTTTTTTTCGGGAAAGACCGCAGCCTGTGTGTGTGTGTGTGTGTGTGTGTGTGTGTGTGTGTGTGTGTCTCTGTGAGCGTGAGTATGTGAACTTTACCAGGAGTGAAAGGAAGGACCCGTGTGTATTCAGAGAAAAGAGATCAAAGACTGTGACTCTCCTGACCAGAGAAGGTCTGGCCCGGATCAATCCAACACAGACTCGTGTGTGCGTGTGTGTGTGTGTGTGTGTGTGTGTGTGTGTGTGTGTGTGTGTGTGTGTGTGTGTGTGTGTGTGAAAGAGTTTTAGAATGCACAAAGACAGAAGAGAAGATAGGTGGAACCTGCTTGCTTACACAGTACATCAGTAATTTTACGTTGTGTTTTAGTGTTTAAATTTACGGTTGTATGTTTTAGTTTATCAGTAAATTTACGGTTGTATGTTTTAGTTTATCAGTAAATTTACGGTAGTATGTTTTAGTTTATCATTAATTTACATTTGTATGTTTTAGTTTATCATTAATTTACAGTTGTATGTTTTAGTTTATCAGTAAATTTACGGTTGTCAGATCCCACACTTTACTTCAAGTGTACATGTTCAACTACTGCAAAATCCTCTATTGAAAGAACATAATTTTTTTAATGAAATAGTTGTTGTTTTTATGATGAAGACTGTTTGTTCCGTTTAAAAAGAAAATAGTTGCTGAATTGTAGTTAATTTAGTCTATCTAACTATTGGCAGGCGTGACCACACAATCTTTCTTGACAATGAAAAGGTTCCGAATGTAAAAACATCAAGTGTACTTTTGGTCGGCATTTTGAAGTGGGTGAAATTCAATGTGGCTCAATGTACATGAGGTTTGAGGTTTATTTATATTTTCCTCATTCCAAATGTTTGTAGCATTAGTACAGTATATTGTCCCTTTCGCCTAAATGATGAATCTTGCATAATTGGCTCAACTTGTTGTTTCTGAATGAGTTGCTTTAAATATTAAGCACTTAAAAAACGAGAGTCCGACAGTCATAGAGATGGAAACTCACGCAGCAATGGAAAGGTTGGCGGCAGACAGCGGGCTGACTTCAGCCACCTCCTTGGCTTTCTGCAGGGCGATCTTCTGACTGGCAGCCTCCTCTTCCTCCTGTTCATCCTTCACAGACAGATCAGAAAGGGAAAGCAAGAGACGGATGAGGTGCGATGTGAAGGAAACAGAAACAATACCTAGAGGGAGATGAGCATAAAACAAATGGTAAGGACATTTTAAATAAAGCTGGGCCGTAGGGTACCTTGGTCAGTTCCTGTGCGTTGGCTAAATTATCCACAGCGATGGCCAAGAACACATTCAGCAGAGTGTCTGATCACAGAGTTAAAGGGAACCCAACATGTATATTAGTGTTTATGCATCATTATGTGGGTTACAGAATTAGCTTTTCGAAGCTACACACACACACACACACAAGTGTCAATATTTTTGTAAATACATTTGCATGGATGTGTGTTCAGTCTGAAGTGACGAAACAACAATTTAAAGCATATTTGCATTTTTGTAGCATTTTCACAGTCAAGGGATACAGTTGCCAAAAAGTGTGAGGACAATAAAGAAGACACTGAAGGCCATTCCCTTGTTGACTCCGCCCTGAGACTTGATGCCATCGTACATCACCACGTTCCAGTCCTCGCCAGTCAGGATCTAACACACACACACACACACACACACACACACACACACACACACACACACACACACACACATTTGAGCAGTTTAATTACGATTCTGCTTTGAGTCAATATGCATTCTTTAAAAAGGCTCAAAACAACCCTCAGCCACATACAAATGCAACCTTTAGTACAATTCTGTTTTAGGACTAATGATATTTAAGAATTGAAAGTAGCATCCTACATTTTATCTCACTCCCTTGTGTGTAAATCCCCTTAAGTCCTTAAAGCGCTTTTGTCCTAATCCAACCCCCGTCTTCTCCCACTATTCCACTCCACCACCAGCATCTCCCCCCCCTTCACATCGTCTCCCCTGCTCACCTGGAACACTGTCATTATTGCTGCGGGGAAAGTATCGAAGTTGGTTGAAGGAGTGCCAGTTTCAAAATTAAACCTAGCAGGGGGTTAGAAAAAAGTGCTTCAGCAGAATATCAAATGAAAACCTTTAAAAGAGTAAGGAGAGGAGTATAGAGAGAGCATCCGAGGTAAAAGGAAACGGCACTGACTGTCCTCCGAAGAGCTGCATGCCCAGGAGAGCAAAGACAACTATGAAGAGGAAGAGCAGGAACAGCAAGCTGATGATGGACTTCATGGAGTTGAGCAGAGAGACGACGAGGTTACGCAAAGACGCCCAGTACCTGCAAAAAGGAAATGCGCTTGAATTGAGAGAAGTGTCCACTATCAGAAATTAAATAGAAACTACAATACAGTTGACTTACTTTGTGACTTTGAAAATCCTCAATAACCTGAGAGCTCGTAGGACACTGATGCCGAACGACGTGCCCGGCTGGATGATGGACCACAGCACTTCAAAAATACTACCACATATCACCTGGTACGAATACAGGCATAAGCAAGCATGTGGTTAGTCATCAGAATTAGCAGTGCACATATCAGCAGATCAACTGTGTATTTTTGTTTCTGTGCGCGGTTATTTCCCACGTGTGCGTCTGCTCGCGAAATTGCGCCTTTGTGTGTTTATTTGTATCTTTGTGTAGTGTCCACGAGAGCTGTGGGACTCACAATGCAGTCGAAGCAGTTGAAGGAGGAGGTGAGGTAGGCCTGTTTCCCCAGGCCGTACATCTTCACCATCATCTCCGTCAAAAATATCCCCAGGAAGATTAATTCAGCAAAATCTACACGGAAGCAAGAAGGCAATAAGAAAAGGAGAAGAAGGAATGGAAAGAAGTATTTTAGCATGCATTTAAAATATGTTGTATTGCATTTTTTTTGCATTTAGTTTAATCTAAATAGATTGTTCCCATTTGTGTTTGTGGAAATATAATGTGGGCAGAATATGTGCTAGAGGAAGACACTGTGTTTGGATTTGCTGGTATTAACTGGTTGGGTCAGCTCTCTCATGGATTTAGTCACACACACCCACTCCCTTCCAGTAATCTGTGATGAGAGTATTTGTGCAGATAACCAGTGTACGCTCGCACAACGTATGCGTGTGTCCTCCTCCCTCCCACTCACATAGAAAATCTGACAGTGGATCTGGCTGGTCGTAGTGCACTACAGCCACACACAGAGTGTTCAGGCCCACCAAGCACAGCACGGTCCAGTAGAAGGGCTGGGACTTAACCACGTGGCGGATAAGGAAGCGTAGCCGCCGCTCCCGCCGCTTGAAATCTGATCCCTCCAGCTTGGAGCTTTTCAAGCTGGCGCGGGCAAAGGGTGACCCTGAAGCCAAGAACAAAGCAAAAGGTTCAATATTAGCTCGACGGTGACGCAAATACTAGTTCTTTGGCGACATTGTGATCCGTTGGTATCTTGGAGAAGCAGCGTCAGTTTCAGTCAGTTGACAAATCAATGTGCTTCCATGATACACAAATCTGACTGATCAGTCTGCTGATGCGAAGAGCAGGTCAGTACAACATCACTTCCACCAAAGCTTTTGCAGCTATTTAATAATTATTTGTTTTCCTTGTTGGAATACCGCCTTCTTCCTACTGTATACACTGCTATGTTACTGCAATTATTAACAAATCATTCATTTTCGGAAGCATCCGTGCTCAATGTAGCAGAGTGTGCTGCGCTGAGCAGCGTCTCCTGCAGTCCACATGTCATGAACATATACAACATAAGAGATTTTATTAAATTGCAAAAACTGGGAGCGATGTGTAGGTTGAGAAGGCTGGAGAAAGAGGGGTTAAGGAAGAGAAGGGAGGAGAAACGAAAGGTGAAAAGGGTAACGTGAGGAGAGAAGTGCCTTGCACCAGAGGAGAAGAGAGGAACGGAGGCTCAGGTAATGCTGATATGCAATATAAGAATCTGTATGTACCTTTGCCTTTGGGTGATGTGTTTGTGTGACACAGAGAGAGGGTATCTTACCGACTGCCAGGTCTCCCTCTCCTTCCTCCGGGTTCAGTAGCTCAGCTTTGCTCTTATGGTTCTTTGTGGCTCTTCTACGGGAGCCTAATGATAGAAGAGAACACACACACACGGGTGTTTAATCTATAACACAGCATTAGAGTTAGGCTCAATGCAATAATATTCTTTTTACAAATCCCTGCCGGGCATTCACAAACACCGTAAAAAAAAACAACCAAAGGAACAAATTCATACCATCGTATTCGTTTTCATTGTCATCATCCGCCAAGATGACCTCTTCTACAAAGTACATATGAAAAATGTTAATAGGCCACATGTAACACATGATTGATGACAACAATATCTAGCAACCTTTTGTTATCAACAATTCCTCATTTTATTTAAAACCTGGAAACAGTCCCTGGCCTGCACCTGTGCTCGCTGCTCATCCCTCCCTCTTTTGTATTTTAGCTTCCTTGTTTTCATGTAGATTATCTTTTCAAGAAGATCAAAGGTTCTGTGCTTTTTGTCTCTCGCTTTATCTGCTGCATCCCATGTCCGACCCTTCATTGGTCTTATCGTCTCTACATCTTTCCTGCCCTCAGCAGGTGAGTCAGAATAAAAAGAAAAGAGAGATAACGGAATGGACAACGCTGGTCTTCGCTATCCAACCATCACGCAAGTGTCTTTAATCCTCACTACAGCAATATAAAACAAATCACTTGTATTTAACAATGAGCAGGTATTGGCTGTAATTCAAGTTTGTATTGCATTGTGAACCTACAATCTGAACATGCCTGATAGATTATTTAGGGGTATGGTAGTGAATTGTGATGTTAAGGCATCACAGTGCAATACAATTTCATTTAAATAGATAATTATAGGTAATTGTTTGTTGCAGCTGCTTCACAGAATCTTCATTCATAGAATTTTACTATGAAGTACCAACAGAAGGTGTTGAGTTGCTTTAAAAAAAATGATAACAAAATCACGTGCAATTTTTCAATGTGTGGATTGATCATCGAAAACGCAATTTGTGTTTTTTCTGTTTGTTTGTGTCTTTGTGTGTGAAAAAAATGGCCCACACGTGCAGTTTATTGCTCATACCAGCTTTGCAGATCCACTCCAGATAACCGTTGAGTTCCCTCTCGATCTGCTGCTGTCTTCTGAGCTTCATGAACTCACTTCTGTTCTCCACACGCTCCCTCTCTTTGGCAAACTCCCTTCGGACACACAAACGTGCACAAACACACACGCACACACCACATACATTTAAATGTTTCGAATGTAGCTACCTTTGCACTTTTTAGTTCAAACACCCTCTCACAAAAGACACACACACACACACTTACCCTGACAGTACACCCAGCACCAGGTTGAGCATGAAGAAGGAGCCAATGATGATGAGAGGGATGAAGTACATCCAGTTCCATGCACTCCCTGAGGCGTCGTTGCTCTGGAAACACACATGCACAAACATCCGACCAAGTTATGAATGATTTGCTCTGGGAATTTTTCCACAACTCATAATGAGCCAAGATTTGATGAACCTCGACATCCATCCATCCTTGCGTCTCCAGAACACCCACTATGAGGCCGTGAAACAGGCAAAGGTAGGACGGGTACAGCTGCATCAATCAACTGATGGCATACGGTTGCGGTCTGTTTGTGCAGTGCACAAGCGTCATTTATTAAGCCTCCCTGTCAAATTGCGGTGCATTTTACTAGCATAAAACAGTGTGGGTCTTGCTTACAAAGGAACGCAAAAATGTGTGCGGTTTTTTGTGAACAGGTCAGAAAACTGCTTGAAAGTAATCACCAAATGTCCAAAGTAAGAATTAGAACACATGTAGGTCAATGCAGTCAAAAGAGCTGTAGGAAATATAAACAACAGCAGGACCGACATGATTTTGCTTTAAGTCATCTCAATAAGTAAATGCATATCTGCCACTCTATTTAGCTGCTCGGTGCAGAGTAAATAATGTATACCGAATGCTTCGGCCCCTCCCTTTCTGCCTCTTCCATCCTGCTGTGCAGACTCCCGCCATTTTCTTTATTCACTCCTTGTTGTTTTCTCCTTTTGCATGCTTCTTTGAGGCCCTTTTCTCCTGCTCCCCCCCATGTCATCAATGTTGATGTTTCTTAATTATTACCTTCATTCCTATCTCTTTACCTCCTCCTTTCCTTCCGTTTTTTTGGGCCAATCTTTCCCTCCCGTCTCACCGCACACTTGTTCTTTACCTCTACACCGGCTCTTCCCCGTTCCACTTTGCGCCCTACTTCTCACGGCCTCCTCCAACATCCCTCCATCTCCTCCTTCCACCAAACTCTTCTTCTTCCTGCGTGTGCGCTGGTATTGCCGCTGTGCACCGACTGAACCGCAGACCTTTTTTTTCCCTTCTCTACCATTAAACTTTCATCGCGTCCCTCCCCAGCATCTGCAAGAATAACTCGGACTGAACAGGTCCTTTTAAATATAGAGCAGCAACGGGAAGGAGGGACACGGGGAGAGGGAGCACAGAGTGAGAGGGAGCGACGGAAGGGAACAAAAGGAGGAAAACGACAACAGTAACACTCAAAGAGCCTGATCGATGTCTTCGGCATCTGTGATGACACTGTTAGAGACCTGGTACCCATTTCAAGGGCAGAATCAACCTTTTTTTTTCTTTCTTTTTTTTTTAAATCATTGAAAATGATTCTTGATCGGTTCAGTGTTTGATTTGACATTCATTTCTTGGGGACGTTGCAGTACGTACGTAGTAGAGCAGGTCAGTCCAGCCCTCCATGGTGATACACTGGAAGACGGTGAGGATGGCAAACAGGATGTTGTCAAACTGTGTGATGCCGTAGTTGGGTCCCAGCCAGTACTGTCTACACATCGTGCCCTCCGGACACAGCCGCGACGGGGGCTCGGTCCCGCATGGGAACTCTTCTCGGATCTCCCCTGAACATGGGTGAAAGCAGGGGAGGTGTTTCGAAACAACCGATTAATTAGCCGCATGAACGTGAAAAAGACATTTGGCTGAGTATTAAAAGTCTGAACCAACAGGTTTTCATCGGGGCAAAGCGTTTAACGATCGACTGCGGCACAACCAAACACACTCGCTTACCTGTGTGATTGTCAAAGCAGGTGGTGTGGAATTTCCCCATGTAGAACTCCAGGCCGATGATGGCAAACATGAGGATGGCAAAGAAAAGAAGCAGGCCGATTTGCAGCAGAGGAATCATGGCCTTCATGATGGATTTCAGCACCACCTGTAAGCCTGGAGGACACAGTGTCGAGTTGTTATACGGCAATTTCAATGTTGATGTGTTGTCAACAAACACAGCAACGTGCTCCCTCCTCTCTCTTTTTATTTAGCAGTTAACCCCTTTAAAGAGAAACACCTTCATGTCCTCCACTGTCAGCTGGTCCTACTGAATGGAAGTGGTTCCATAATAACAACCATAGATTCGATACCTGTGGTCGCACAATAAACAAATGGAACATTTGGTATAATTTGATGTTGTTTTGTGTCAAAAGGTATACATAACATCACATATTATAATGGAACTCCAACTTGCTTTTCACAGGAAGCTCAGAGACTTTTATGATGAGTAAGCCCGGGTTTGCCTGTTCAGCCTTGTAGTGGCGTCCGGGCTATTAATAACACTGCAGTGCTGCTGGAACACTGCTGCCAGTATAACATTTAAAGAAGGAGCAGAGAAGTAACACTTTTGGTGGAACACTTTGGCTGCATTATGCAGAATAACACAGAAGCTGCATAAAACAGCTTCTTCCTGATATTTTGATCTTCTAATAAACTCGGGAAGGGGTCTGCACATAAGAAAAAAGACAATTTCCTCAACTAAGGACAAAGAAAAATGTGAAAAGTCCTTATTTTCAATGTCAAATGAAGAGTTTTGACTTACTGGGAATGCCGGACACCAGTTTGAGGGGCCTCAACACTCGCACAGCCCTGAGGGTCCGCAAGTCGAAATCTGATCCCACGGTGGACAGGATCCTAGAGGGGTGGAGGATAAAAGCACAAAAGTGTGCAAGGGCAATCAATATTCAAGCGAGTCAAGCCTGTCAGTGTCAGTCAGCTGCACACACTTTTACACACACACACACACGCACACACACACACTTCAACAACAACAACACCCCACGCCAGGTCATTACAAGCAACTGTGTGAGCAGCGCATTTAAATCCTCTAAGAGCGGCGCTGATCAATAGAGCTGACAAGTGAAGTCGGACGGAGAAGTGTATCAGGACGATGGGCTGAAGGGACAGTGTTTCGTAACAGGGTCGGATGGGAATGGAGGAGCACGGGACAAAGAGAGCAGAGAGAAGATTGAGGGACAAAGAGGAAGGTTAGAGCGGAGAGATAGTCGGAGAGTTGCTGAGTTGCTCGTTTCCGCCTAGTTTTATTCGCGGTACGTTTAAGGTGTTTTCGTCTCGCCGGGCTGCCGAGTAAACGTGACGGCATGTGTGTCACGGCACCTGTAGCTCACCTTCTGGATAAAGACTCGTAAACAGCGTGTGAGTGCGTTTCTTCAAATGGTTAAGATGTTCCTTTGTGCCGCCAGACTTGCAGTCAGTTCCCGAGTCTGACGCACGCTGTGAATCATCCTTCTTCCCACTTCCCTCTCTCTCTCCCTCTCTGTTTCCGTCTCTCTGACACATTTCCACTTTCCTCTGCTTCGCTAAGAGCCCCAGTGACACAGCAGAGCCTTCAGCGGGGGTTTGAAGTCAGTCTGCTTGGCTTGCAAACCCACGAGAACGGCATGAAGGGAGCAGTATCAGTGACCCAGGATCTATGGGTGAACGCTGTATCGAATTACCAGGAAGCCCCCACCCAGTGGTATAGGTGCTCCATCCCTGTAGGCCGGGGTCCTTGTAATGACATTGTGTGATATCCAATGCCTCACCAGAGGCTGACTTGTAACTGAGAGGTCCCTGGTTTGGTCACGAGGCAAAACTTTGATTCAGCCGCGTGTGTGGTTGATAAATGATGGCAACTCACATTTTACGGTATGTAAAGCAAAAGAGAGAGAGAGGAAAGTGATGTATGAACGGCAGGAGAAATGCGTCTTGTGTTGTACGAGGGGAAAGAAAGACAATAAACAGAAAAGGGAGAAATGATGAATGAGAATATATTCAGACAGGGAGCTCAGTGCAGAATGATAATTGATATTATGGTCAGTGAGCCGTGTAATTTCCACGTTGGAAATGTTGGGACTTACAGTATTATGCCTGAAGCATCATTTCATTCCTTTCTATGGGTGTGGATGCATATGTGGAGGAACGGTTTAATACTGCTGACAGAGGAAGTTCCTCACTACGTGCAGAAATCAACACTCACGCACACGTTTTGTGTTGTGTAAATCTGCACAATTGAGAATGCAATGCAGAAGCCATCTGAGAAAAGTTACATGCAATTACACGTGTAAACTGGACTATGGTTATATTTAAAATAAAAAAAGATGAAGACAATGGTGATGATGATAATAATAATAAACCAAGAATTCAGTTTCTAAACAGCATCCACCGTCACAAACAGTGTCAAGCCGATGAGGCGGTTCCTCATTCACACCGTCTCCACGGTTACTGGGCCCTTTCTCATTCATAAGTGTTTCCATGGCAACAGGGACCTCGGCTCATTGATAGAATCTCTGTATCACCTTGGTAACAAGGCCAAGGGAGGAGCCTGATTGATTGTTTTTTTTCCTGCCTCTCTCCCGTCTCTAATGTAAATGGATCACAACACACAGAATAAAAACCCACTTATACACGCAAATACAGAAAATCACATACACACACATCTGCTCAATCCATGCATAGATGAAACATTTTGAGTGTGCATCATTTTATTCACATATGTACACTAGAAACTAGGTCATTGGGAATAACCAGACTGGGACACGGATGCTACTTAGAGCACATATTATAAACTTGAACCAAATACAGACACAGGTAAACACAACTAAACTGTAAGCAGATGTCGCACAGTCACATTAAGCACTTCTGATGTGCCACAATCTCCCCACTGACCCATTCCCATCGGACCCCAACACATTATACAAACACAATCTTTTTTCCTCGCTCTCTCCGCCTGCTTTCCTGCTGACTTCAGCTAAATGTGGCCAATTATATCTGTGCACATCATTCACCAAGTCGCTTCATCTGTTCTCTATCTCTCACTTTTCTTGTCTCGAATGTGGCATCTGCTGTTCACAATCTCTACAAAATGCATTTTATTCTGCAAGACTTCCAGTGAGCATGATTTCACAATCCTTCTAAAAGGATTGGGGTGGTTAAAAAAAGGGTCGCTAAATCTCTCTTGCACCCCCTTCTCCCCCCCCCCCCCCCCGTACCACTGGTGTCTAATAAAAAGAACCTGAACAAGGGTATAAGAAGGAAGATGCAATGCAAAGCACGACTGTAAACTCTGGTTAATTGGACTAATAATCGATAGTGGGCATAAAAAACAACTAGCTTATTCCCAGGGCCAAATCTCTCAGGCAATTTATTACAGCAGCGCACACACACACACACACACACACACACACACAAACACATAACACTTGGGAACTGAAACAAGGGTGAACACAAATCCACTGACATCCAATAAGGTCGGGGATTGAATAGCTAATCTATTCAGACATGTTACGTGCCATTTGCGTATTTATCGTCTTATGTGTCATGCAGGCAAGTGCACTAGGATTGAGTAGAAAATGGAAAGGGATGTTTGAAGAGGAAATGTGTGTGTGTCTGAGTGTGTGTGTGTGTGTGTGTGTGTATTGCGTGTGTGTTATCAAAGGTTTTGTCCAGGGGTGGATGGAAAGGCCAAGTAGTCTTTCATTGTCAAAGAGCAGCACTGCCAAAAACACGAACCCCATTCATGGAGAGAGCACAACAAAGCGCGTGTGTGTGTGTGTCCGGGTGTAAAATGCATTGACTTCAGTTGTTGTGCATAATGTATCATGGGAATGTATAGTACGTGTGCTGTAAGTAACAACAAAGAACGCAGAGATGAAGGCCACTGGTTGTGTTGTATGAATTTGCTTACATTGCAGAACGCACGCATCGTTTTCTTCTTCTTTTTTTTTGTTATTGGCGCAAAATAGTGCACTTATATTACAATACATTTTTCACAAACGCAGACATGGAGCGCCAATTCTATTCTCAGACCGTCTCGTCTATTGTTCAGAGGAATACTAGAATGTCAGAACACTATAAAATATTGCTAATGTAACCTAAAGACGGTCTTAGGAGCCTCCAGCAACAAAGCAATGCCCACTTAAAACAGGAAGTGATCTGAAGCTCCAAACATTAACCACGGGTCACATTACAGGCTCGACTCTCACCTCGGCATTGACTATGACAATATTACCCGCTTGCATTTTGGATCACCATCTCCACCAGAACACTATTATACTGCTGTGTCATGCTTGCTTAGAGTTTTTCACTGTCCAAACAGAAGGGGGGAGGAGGGGGAGGGGGATCATGTGAGAAGTTTTCAGGACTGCCTCACCTCCTTCTGCTCTACCTCTCCTATGTCTCCTATGTTTCGTGACGTTATTAAAGCAAAGGGACTCACTGCCGTATGCTGCGTGTGTGTCTTTGTGTGTGTGTGTGTGTGTGTGTGTGTGTGTGTGTGAGTCAATAGCGTCAATAGTTTCCCTCATGCATTACCAGAAAAAGCAACGCAAAGCTCTCCAAATTACTGCCTGCATGAACACAAACATGCAACAATCAGCCCGAGCTGATGGTACCACTGCTGTGTGTGATGGTCGGGTGGCAAACTGCTGTCAAAATGTATAGTGACTTCCTCAATGCTTTGCTGCAAAAAGTTGGTCGAAAAAACAGGACAAACAAGACATCCAGGCTTGAAGTGTGTTGATACAATCTGAAACCGGAATTAAAAGGCCATTCTTAAGCTTTGTGAAATGTATTGTGGCCGTATCAGCAATTAATGCTGACTTATCGGTCCCTAATGCAATCACAGGCATGTAAATCACATTGATCACTGGACAAAACTACCCCCGTACATAAGCAACAGTATGACACCGGCAAGTCACTTGGCCATATGGATGGATGGATTAATAGAAAAAACACAACCATCTGGCATGGCTGAATCAGGGTATCTTTTCATCTTCACTGACACATAAAGCCCTTTGTATGTATCTGCACACAATGGTTTTGCTGACCCTTTTTTAGTTGTGTGAATCCAATTTGTTATCTATTTTCTCCCGTCCTTCGTCCCAATAGTCCCAATGCTGCAGTTAAGAAGTGTCCAAATAACAACTGAAGTCCTCTTTTATGTTACAGCTATTTTACTGTAAACGCCTGGTTTCTCTTTCCCCTTTCTGACTGCTACAGACACCCGCGCCTTTTTGTCCGTCCTTGCTTCGTACCTTCTCTCCAATGGCTCTTCCCTCTCTGCCGTGCCCCCCCCCCCTTCCTCCCAACGCCCTCCTTCTCTGAGTATAGTGTGGTGACATTTGTTCTCTACCCAGGCTGCTGGCTGCCTGCAGTTCCGCTCTGTGATCCGACCGCTGCCTTTCCCAGAATGGGGCCATTCATTAAGGCCGGGGAGCAGAGACACAACACACACACACACACACACACACACACATCTACACATCTACACTAGCCGTGATTTATTCGGGATTCTCACTCTTTTCTAGTGATCGTTTCGCGGAACTCGTCCATTTGCAGCGATGATGTAGCAGGTGCAACAGACAGGGATTGAGCCACAGGCTAATTTGTTCCTGTCTGCGCAAGTCTGATTTAGTGTTGAGAGCGTTTCTACAACATAATCGAGAGCAGGCTTTTTACAAATACCCACTCCATAAACTACCATTTGAACGTTAGTATGATCCCGACCATAAATTGCGTCTTTCAGACGGCAATGCTTTCTGTTTCGGAGAGCTGTGATAGATACTCAAGGAAGAAGAATAACGTTGACAGGATTTTCCAGGACTTTTTCTCTCATTTTTATGCGTTTTCAATGTTTTCTCTGCTGGTCAATTGCTTGCCACTCACCCTGTGAGCACCACCACGAAGTCCATGACGTTCCATCCATTCCTCAGGTAGGAGTTCTTGTGGAAGGCGAAACCTAGCGCCAGAATCTTTATTCCTGACTCAAAACAGAAGATCCCGATGAAGTACGGCTCTGTGTCATCCTGAGGAGGAGAGAAACATTGGTCAGCACTGTAGGCCTGATGATGACGATGGTGCGTGCGTGCTGTATGGCGCCCGTTTAACGTACCAGGCGCTCAGACAGCGGCGTCTTGTCCCCATCAGGCAAATGTTGTTCCAGAGCCAAGACGATGCAGTTGGCAATGATGGTGGCGAGAATCATCCACTCAAATGGA